TGTATGAAATGAATGTGGAGCCGTGTGGAAGGAAAGAATGTTCTACCAGCAAGCGTCCTCTGGACCCAACCCATCAGGCAGCCTGCGGGCCGAGAATTTATGGATGTGTTTTCAATTTCTCTGACAGAATCTGTTTGGATTAAGGACGGCTGTTTAATCTTTGAAATATGTGTTCCATAACAAACGCTGGAATCACGTATAAATTGCTCCCTTCATTCTGGGAGCCAAACCCTTACTAAAGGGGTTTGGAAATCCCCACAAGGTGCTCTTTGCTTATTGCTCATTCGGAAAGAAAAAAACATTTCTTTAATGAAATGCAACGTTGAGGAACTGCCAAAAATAGATGCTCCCTATCTGCCTCCACATATGGTAGCTTCTTTCTAGCCAATTAACTGCCAATGAACTGAGGAAGAGCTGTAAGCGCAGGCAGGCCAAGCACCCCGCTCAGCCATGTACTGCCCCGGGCAGAGATGGAAGTTTCTGGTCCTATCTCCACCCACAAAAGCCCAGGAAGCCCATGACTTTTATTTGCAAGACTATTCTACTTAGCCTTAGCTAAACTCCCAGAATTAAGACTGATGGCTTGTCACCTTTGGGACAAACCTGGCTTTTAACTACATTGTGTTAAAGGGAAATATCCAAGATCCACAAAAGGTTGTTCTTTTATGATTGCTACTAACAGACTTAGTTCTATTTTAACACTATGCCCGAGAGATTTTTTCTGTCCAGAAGCATAGAGGGTATTGGGGTTAACGCTGTCTGAAAATAAGCACTTTACACACGTTCTTGCATTTTCTGATCTCTTGCTCCAAATTTCAAGCCAGTCAATGAACAGTTCAGAATCCATGCATATACATGCTTTTTCTTCTCTCTGGGCTGATACGAAGTCAAGGAGAAATGGAATCTTCTACAAACTGGTTTCTTTTCTGTAACCTTCCATTAATTTGAAGTCGGCAAAGCTTTTGACAACCCTTAAGAGATCTGAGTTTTTATTTATTCTGTTTGTGGGGAGGGTTGTTTTGGGGTTGTTTTGGATAAACCAAAAAAAGGAGGGACAATTATCTAACCCACTCTGTGTTTACTTTGAAGCAGTCTTAGAATGAAACCAAAGGGTTAGATGTCCCTTGTCATCACAAAAATGAATTTTCCATTAAAAGTAATGGGGGCATGCCTATAATCCTAGCTACTCAGGAGGCAAAGATAAGGAGGATCACAGTTGGAAGCCAGCCCCGGGACAAATAGTTCACGAGACCCTATTTTGAAAATATCCAATACAAAAAAGGCTGGTGGAATGGTTCAAGCAGTAAGAATGCCTGCTTAGCAAGCGTGACGCCCTGAGTTCAAACTCCAGTGCTGCCAAAGGGAAAAAAGAGTAAGTAATGGGGGCTTCATAAAGGGAGGAAATGACAATATCTACCATCATATTCCATGCCAAGGACTTTACAGTGATTAGCACCTGCAATTCTCACTCTACAACAATGGAGTTCTGAGAGGTTTGATTCTTTTGACAATGTCACACAGCCAGGACTCAATGGAGCTGGAATTCAAGTGCATCTAACATTGGTGTGACTCCCTGAAAAGTCAATGTTGAAATTCTGTTAGGATGTCATTAAACCCAGGAAGTTTCCAGTCATGGCTCTAAAGATCTCTGATATGCCAATGGCTTGATTTCCATCTCCAATCCTACTGATTCCCCTGAACTCTGAACTTGCATATCTGACAGATATCTCTCATGCAGCATTTCCAAACGGAGCCCCTTGTCTAATCTAACCCATCCCGATCAATGGCACCTTAATGGCGCCCTAGCTATACCATTTTCTATCCAGTCAACCAGAAACTCTGTTGGCTCTTCCTTAGAAATCTACCTGGAATTCAAGAATTTTCCTAGGGTAAGCCTCCATCATGGCTCACATAACCAGACTCCTGGCTTCCAGACTTATTCTCCAACAGCCACAATGGTGTGTGGGACAACACAAGTCCAATTAGGTCACTCCTCTAAATTTCAGGTTTTTATCTGGCTCTCAAAAATCCTGAGGCATTTGCTTCATCTATCCTCCTCCCAAAAGGAAAACAAACTGACTTCAAGTACTTCTACCTGTCCAAGCCCCACACCTGCGCCATTCACCCCAGGTGGGAGTCCAGCAGGCTAAGCCCATTTCCACCTCAGGAAATTCGAATCTGCTGCCCCTTCTGTTGAGGATGTCCTTCCCCCAGCTGGTTCCCTCTCCTAATCAGAGGGGTGCCTCTCACTGCCCATATTAACTAACACCTCTTCTAAGTTAAGCTATATGGGCTTCCTTCCTTCTGTTTTTCCTTTACTCTTTCTTCCTTTTTAAAATTTCCCTTAAAACTGAAAGCTTGAAAGCAAAGCAACAAAAAACTGGTGAGGAAGACATCATTCAAACCCTGTGGTTCCCAAGGTAAAAGAAAAATTTCTGATAAAAGGAAAGATGAATGAATGAATGAATGAGCACTAGATCCAAGCTGTACTCTCTAGCCTCCAAGACAGATGTCCTGAGGACAGCGATCCTGCCCCATCCTTGCAAATTTACAGTCCCGGTCTGAGTTTTTACTCAGACATTGCCTACTCAGCCAAGAACAAAGGATTTTGAGGCCAAGCAAATTGATGTCACAATCTGTGTGACAACCTTAAGCATGGGTCTTTAATATCACTGGATGCTTTAGCAATGTTACCAGGACCGGGTTACCAGAGGCTCTATGGCAGGACCATACTGTGAAATCAGTATCTCTTCCATTTATGACATGCTTTTTGAGGACTCTGTGCTTGTTTTATTTTCAAAAATAGAGTTTAAACATTTAATTTTTAATAAGGTGCCAACGTTTACACAGTGTTACAATAAAAAAAGACACGTTGCTATGTGGTTATTCCAACACCAGTTGTGAACATATCTCGTAAAAGTCGCATGTAGGCTCATTCCCAACACACCTAGGATGGCAAATAAATAGTTATTACCACACCAGTGAAAATGGGATCTGGTTAATGTTTCCGTGTCAGATACACAGGCTCGCTCCTCGGGTAAATCATTTCAAATGTTAGAAGCCGAGTCTGATAAAACACTGCCCACTCAAAATTAAAATGAAAGCGTAATATCGCAATTACGTGGGAATTCAATAGTCTCCTCCTTGGCTTTCTCATCTTCCCCAGCTCAGCATCTGATAATGAGTACTGAGCAGAATTTGCACATGTTGATAATTTAAAGTAATCCGTTCTCACCTAAATAAAACAAACTGCTCTCAAATTTCTGGTTTCTGTGACTTATTAGTGCTCAAATGTATCTGTTTACACGTCTTCTCTTTGGTGAGGCCTTTGGGAAGGACGGAATAGAGAACTTTGAGACCGCCTGGTTCTAAGCACAGGGAGTGCTGAGTAAGGGGTGATTCCCTGCTAGCACATTTGCCTTTCCCTAAAAGCCACAGGATCGGCAGCATTCCCAAGAGATGTGGTGAAAAACACGAAGAAAAAAGATCCACGTAGCACTTTAGAGATAGCCTTTATTTGGTGTCCTGAGGATAGGAAGGGAGAACAAGAAATTACAGATGCACCTCGTTAGAGAACTCCTTTTCCACTTGGTGTTTCTGGTTTTTTACATTAAAAAATTGATTCGTAAAGAATTCTGAAAACTCTACAGATGTCTAAAGCCTTTGGTTCTGGAAAAGAAAACATTATTTTAAATAATGTTTCTGTCCCCTCCACACCCCAGTTCTCTTCGTCACATCACCAGGTCAAGTGAATTGAAGTTCACTTGGGGTAGAGCAAACACCTTCAGAGTCCCTACCTGGGTACTTTCACAAGAAAGAGCGGCAAAGAATGGGGTGCTATGCTCCCTGTGCAGCTTGTATGAGGCCTTGGCCAGTGGAGCAAATGGACCATATAGCTGAAGTGGGCTCTCTGGGAAGAAGGCCATTCGCCATGGCAGTCCCCAACTGCAGACTCTCCATCCTTGACCTTAATTTTCCTGGCTGGCCCTGACTTTCTGTGGAGGAGATCCTGAACCCCACATCAGATTGGAGGATCAACATGCAGAGGAAAAATGAGCTGTGTTCTCTAAGTCAAATCACTCTTCCAACGGTTTCTGTGAGCTCACAAACACCTTGTGGAAAGCACTGGGGAGAAGGACACAGTTCTTAAGATCCCCTCCCCCCCCAGTGACCTTGGCTCAGAGTAAACTAGTCCCTCAACTGCCTCCATGGCCTCAGCTGGATTAGAAGTAAACTGTGGTTTCACTGACCTTTGACTATCTTTCCACTGTCCTGTGTTCTTTCTGAAGTATTCTGGCTAAAGGGGCCTTCTGGATTATCCAAGGCCAAGGTATGACTAAAGCCTCTCTTTCCATTACAGGTCAGCTCTGAGGGGCCACCTGGGCTGAGGAGACCTACGTGACGCAACCGTTAAGACTTAGGATTTACAGTCTGGGAGAACCTGCCCTCCTTGCACATATTCTGTAGAAACCCAAAAACAACACTGACACTAGGATCTATGACTTAACACTTACCTGCCGTGAATGAGTCAGTGAATTTCACTCTAAGACCAAGGTTTAAATTCCCTACTCTTAACTGGATATTTCCATACCAAAATGGATATTTGAGGTCATTTGGAGGCGGGGGAATTAATTACAGAAATAAATAACTGGAACTAGTTTTCCATAAATGCCAATATGATCCAACTTAAATTGTTTTAATCCGAAGAACATATATTTCTTATAACAACTAGAAGATTTGTAGAAATCCCACTTGTAGCTAGGTTTTTATTCAAAAATAAAAATTCTTATCAGAGTTAAGAAGTGATAGATTCTGCTTGGGAGTTCTCTATCAAATCTGAGAGAAGGGGTAGGAAGCAAGAAGTTAGAAGAATGTTTGCGGGGCTTGTCAAGATCAATTGAGTAAAGAAGACATGGAGGCAATGTGAGGCACGATGATGGAATTTCATGTGGCAGATGTGTTCCCACCCCAAGAACCAACCCTCCACTGCATATTAAGAAAGTTCAAATTTAGGAGAATAATGTGCCTAGCTAAAAATTTTCCTTCCCAGACTTGCATGCACGAGGGGAACCACATGACAGAATTCCAGCCAATGGCTGCGTGTTGAGCATCTCTGGGAAACCTTTCCTTTCCTGATATATATATTGTATCTTGTTACTTGACTCTTCCTCCTTCTTCCCATGTAGAAAGCAGACATGGTAGCTAGCAGTTTAGCAACCACCTTGCAACTATGAAACAATAAGCCAAAGGAAGAGGAAAAGGAAGGTGGAAAAGAAATACGAGGAATTTGAATCCCTGGTGATGTTATGGAGACAGTCCCAGGGTGGCCAACTCCCAGGTTTCTTATTAAGCCCTCACTGTTGTCTTGGTGTTCTGTTATTTTCAGTCAAGTGCACATGTACCTGATGCATCAATATTAAATGACATTGAGATTGAAAGGGGTGAGAGTGAAGCAGCAAAAGGGGAGGGACAAGGACAAGTGAAAGGGCAAGTGGGATAAACCTTACATGGATCATACAATGGGCCTAAAACAGCTTGATTTCTTAAAGACACAAATCTTGACTAAATATGTCATTACACTCAAATACAAAGATGCCCGATGCTTAAATTGGCTGTAGAAATTTTAATTCTGTCCTTCTGCGCTGTGATTGCTGGTATGAAAGTGCATGCCTAGACATTAAAACTGGACATTTTGCATCCAACAGAGAAGAGAATGGAACATGCTTGGAATCAATTTAGTATTTCTCTTGCAATCCATTTGGAGAAGTTCCCACTGAGAACTCATCTGCCTCACCCTCCTGAGGGGAAAAGTAAGTAGTAACACTGGGTAGCTGGTTTTGACTGTGGCATATGCTACTTGGAAATTAAAAGAGACTACAGCAAGCTGTGAGCACACAGGCCACAACCCATGGAAAGTGCGGGACCAATCAATATTTAAGAATATTCAGGCAACAGCAATAAATAAATGAAGCAAATGCAATGAGGATGCAAATCAATGATGAGGCGTGTGTTCCCTCAAAATAAGGACGTGTTCCCTTGCATAAGAAGAAGCTCCACACAGCACTACATGCTCCAAAAGTTCATTGTCCACTCCAAGACACTGGTTTCTTCACATCCGTCATGGCGGGCACCTCTGATGTTGCTTTTGAAACTGACAAAGAAGCAGAACAAGCTGAAGCCACAGCAAGAGGTGGGATGGCCACGAGCAGACCCGCTGGGGCATGCTTGTGGCTTTCACTGTGTGCAACTTTAAATTCTTTCTCTTTTCCAACAAAGTAAGAGCAAATGTCTTTAGTCTGACTCAGTAACATTGCAGCAGCAAAATATCAGGAACCAATAAATAAGGACACTGACACACGGACACCCCTTTGTCTTGCGGACTCAAAGCTTCACATGTGCTATGAAGTTAAAAACATCAGCCTTGAGTAAAAGGGGTCAAGGCTTCTCTACTCGGCATTTGTGTTCCATGTCCTCAAATCGACCATATCATTTACCCCACCCATGGGCCCCTGCAGCAGTAGTAAACTCACTGGGAAACAGCTTGGAACTCACACGGCGTTAAAGCTATAAAATGCCTACTTATTGATGGTTTTGCTTTTCCTTAATGTTCTATCCTTCTTCCCCCCTTTCAAACAAAGCTTTGTTTCTGCTGCCCCCAGTGCATATAATAGTATATCATTTGTTTTCCTTTAAAAATGATATAGCCGGTGGTTTTCTCAAAGTAACTGCCACTTTGTTGCTAATTAAACATGATGGATTCGGGATCCTGGTTGGCCATCTGAGCCATGTGTCTCAGAACGTCCTTCTTTGTGATGATACCAAGAAGCCTCCTGGAGTGGAAACAAAAGAAAGAAAAGAGGTCAGCCTAGTAATACAGATCCACTCTGCCCCCAAATCCTTTGCCACCTGGGCACAGGGACAGGTGAACTTTCCCAGCCTCCCTTGTGGTTGGGTGGGGCTAACAGAGTGAGCTTTGTCCAATGGCCTGTGGGTGAAGATGACAGATGCCAATCTCAGGTCACCTGTGTATTTCCTCACGCTCCCTCTCTTGTCATCCAGCCGCCAGAGGCAGAGGAGTCAGTGAAAGACTCTGAGGCACAGAGGAGGCATCAGATTCAAAGACCTGGGGACCCTTAATGTATGGTCAAGAGATCACACCTGCAACCCACATAGGATGTGACATGTGAGAAAAATAAACATTATTGGAAAAGGCCACTGACGTTGCAAGCTTGTTTATTATACAGGCAGTAAACCTACTATGACTAATACATGCTCTTCAATTTCAAGGTTATAATCAATTTTAAAAGGGCTTATGAAAGCCATTGTCAAAAGTTGATGACTCTACAGAAATTCCAAGTGTAAGGTATTTTATGTATAAGAAATGTTAATACAAGATAAAATGTATTTTCTTTTTAATTTTGCCCAACTAGAAGGGACACTGTTTGACATTCATCTCTGACCACAAATGCAAACTGCCTCCTCTTTAAAAATTCCATTGCTTTCAACTTATACAAACAACGCCCCTTGCCAGGGCCTCTGGTATAGGGCCATCTCAACTGTACATCGACAACCCCAGGGAGCACTGCACAAGCACTGCAATATCAGTAGTGCTCCCTGCATTATTCACAACCATTCAACACAACTCTTGCTTCATCATTTTATTAGATGCTTAAATCACAACCCGTGGGAACAAATCATGACTGCTGGGTAAAGTGAAAGGTTTGATAGAAGAGAATGTGCATGACTTCTTTGGAAAAAAGTTCCACTGCTAAATAAGGTTGCAAATGATGGCTCGCTCTATCTCCAGTGTAGTCCAGAAAAGGAGATTATGACATACCAAAAATGGCAATGTAATTTAATAAAAGCCAAACTCACCTTTTCCTAATAGTGACTATGACAAGGGGTATTCAAATCAGACCTGGCAAGCCAGTCAGGCTGAAATTCTGACTTTTTGACTCTGACCACACTGGACCTTGAACCACCTTGAAAACGTGATTTCTTTCTAGTGTTAGTTTCCCCCTGTCTCACACTAGGGTAGATGGCAAGTACTGGGAACATCTTCAGAAGAGATGAAAGCAGCAAAGTGGGTCATTAAAAGCATGCTAGGCTGGGGGCGTGGCTCAAGTAGAGCGCCTGCCTAGTAAGGCCCTGAGTTCATGCAAGGCACTGAGTTCAACCCCCCAACACCTCAAAAAGCTGTGGGAGGAGGAGGTGACTAAATAGGGATGGAGCCAGGGGTGGGGGGGTTGGACTCAAGTGGTTCTGGGCTCCTCTTTGACTTTAAGCATGGTTGTGCATTACTTTCAACCCTCTTCTACAACCAATCACAATGCAGTCAACTTGAAGAGTTCCCATTAAACAGATGACATACTACCAAACCTACTATGGTAGTCTGTCAATCTGGGCTGCCAGAACCAAATACCATGGACCAGGTGGCTTAAACAAGAGACATTCATTTTCTCAATGTGTCACATGAAGATGCCAGCAGACCAAGTTGCTCCAGAGGCTGTCTCCTTGGCTCACAGATGACCATAGTCACGTTCTCACTGTGTCCCTACATGGTCTTTTCTCTGTACACGGATACTCCTTGGGCCTCTCCCTCTTTTTTTAAGGATGCCAGTCCTGTTGGATCAGGTTCTACCATAATGGCCTTGTTTAGCTGTAATTACATCTGTAAAGCCCTTCCCCACAGAGTCACATTGGGGGGTTAGTGTTCAACACAGGAATTTAGAGGGGGACACAATTCAGTCCATGACAGTCCTTCAGCCACCTCTACACTGACCAGCTGAAGGAACACAAAGCACTCTCTGTGCTTCCCTTCCTGCCCCATGTGGGATTCTAAAGCTTGTAAGAAATATAGAGGCGATTTAGATGAACCCAGCTTATTTCCCCAAAGGTTGGTACAGTACTGAAAGAAGACATGTCTAAAGGAACCAAGCATCATCACTCGTCTTGTAGAACATGCTGGCTTCTCCCAGGAAACTCAGCTGGGAGCATGAACATGGCTGAGAGAAGGTAGGCCAGGGGAGGATTCCAGGCTCCTCATATAGGAATGAAAGTTGCTGGGCCCAGCTGGTGGCTTCTGAACACACTCTTTTCCATCCTGACTTGTCTTAGTTTCTTGGGAGTGAACTGCCATAGCAAGGGCCCACTGCACTCATCCCACCAGAGGTGGAAATTTCCCAAGGGCATTACAACTTGGTACTTCGCAGATCACTCTGCTTCAGGGAGCCCCTGTCTCATTGGAGTTGTCCTTGGGCCTTGGCATCCATCTATGGCTGCTGAGAATAGCTGCCCAGGGCTAGAAGGCCCAAGTAAAGAAGAGATTTCCCCCCATGTTCAGATATATTTGTTCTTGCTCTCATGATACTAGTTAATTTAAGGGGACACTGGGGCAGCAAGGAGAGGCAGCTTTGATCCTGGGAGGGGCCACTACCTAAAGGCAAAAGGGAGTCTGCAGTGATGTCCCTCTAGGTAGCATCAGCCAACCTGAGTCTACAGGACTCTCTCCACCACTCTGTGCCTGGCAAGGCTTTACTCAGGGCTTCTCCACCTTAACACTAGTGACAACTGGAGCTGGACCATTCTTTGTTGGGGGTGACCTGTCTTGTGCAGCACCTTGGCCTCTACCCACCATATGCCAGCAGCACTTCACCCCCAAGTTGTAACAACCAACATGTCTCCAGACACAGCCAAATGTCTCCTATGGTTGGGGCTCTAGATCGCCCCTTGTTGAGAACAAACCATTGTCCAAACTGAAAAGCACTGAAGTATTCCCATACCTGATGGTTTACAGTCACTGACATGGATGCTCTGGAATATCGCCTCCCACCCACATATTACTTCTATAACCCACTGATCTCATCACAATTCATAACAAAGGGCCACTATCCGGCACCAGCTCTCAAGCACTTTCAGTATTACTCCTAGCTGGAGCTTTCAAATAAGAATGGCCCTCTGTGGGAAATAGACAATATGCCATCAGCAGGAAATGGGGAAGTTCCACAATCTGGCCCTGTATTCTTAACTTCAGTGAGTGGCATAGTTCTCAGAACCTAGGAGCCAGTTGAGCCTCAGGAAATGGGACAGTTGGAAGGATCCCAGGTGGGATTGGCTTTGCAACCAATTCCCATTACCCTAGAGCAAGGAGTTTAGCCTAAGGGTCACACATCCTCATCTGAAAAATAAAGAGAATGTAAATGTACATCATCTAAGGAATTGATGAACAAAATGTGGTGCTTCTGTACGGTAGAGTATTATTTAGCCATAGAAAGCATGAAATACACATGCTACTACATGGGTGAACCTTGAAAATGTTATGCTAAGCAAAAGGAGCCAATAGCAAAAGGCCATGTATTGTATGACACCATTTATAGGAAGTACCCAAAACAGACAAATCCAAAGACACAGAAAGATTAGTAGTTGCCAGTGGCTATAGGGAGTGACTGCTAATGGGAACTGGATTTGGGGGCTATGATGAAAAATGTTCTGGAATTAGAAAGGGGTGAATATAACAAAAATTCTTGAATTGCACACTTTAAGGGGATAAATTTTATGGCATGTAAATTATACCTTGGAAGGAAGGGAGGGAGGGAGGAAAGAATGGAGGGTGGGAGGGAGAAAGGGAAGAAGGGAGGAAGGGAGGGAGGGAAGGGAGGGAAGGTAGGGAGGGAGGGAGGGAAAAGAGGGAGGGAAGGAAGGAAGGAAGGACTAAATTAAACTTTGAGTGAGTACACACTCAGCAATCCTACTCCTGAGTATGCTCCCCAGGCAAACTGAAAGCACAGGCCTGCACCAAAACAGTGCATGAATGTCCTTTAGAACAGAACTATTCATAATGCCACAAAGTGTGAGCAGTCCAGTGTCCACCAATAGAACGAATAAAGAAAATGTGGTCCATTCATACCACAAAAGATTGCGCAGCCATAAACAGAATGAAGCACTGACGCATGCCTCAACATGATGAACCTTGAAAGTACTATGCTGAGGGGAAGAAGCCAGTCACTGAGGGCCACGCAGTACATGGCTGCCTTGATATGTCAAGTGCATAGAAACAGAAGAGAGTAGTGGTGGCTGTGGTATAGGAAGTGACAGCCAATGGGACACAGGCTTTCTTTCTAAGGTGATGGAAATGTTTTGAAGTTGATGGTGGTGATAGATACACAACTCATTTTCTACTAAGACCACTGAATTTTACATTTTAAATGGGTGAATTGCACGGTATGTGAATTATCTCAATAAAGCAATCAATAAAAATAAAGACAGGGCCTCATGGGCTACAAAAAGCCCCACTCACCATGCAGATGCTAAGAATCTGGTGAGAGGGACAAAGGGCAGGTGAAGAATTCTCTTACTGGCCCCTCCCAGAAAACAGAATGGCCAAGTGAAGGGCAAAAAAAGCACGAGCATTTGCAAGTGTTGAGATTCAAATTGTCCTTTCAGAATTAAAAAGGAACAGTTACAAGGCCAGCAGCTTATACCTATAATGTGCCACTAAGCCAGCCATGATCAGGAGCAAAATCTGAGCAGGTTTGAGCAGGTCAGTCCACAGGAAGAGCACCCACATGTTTTCTTAGACAATGGGAAGGGTGGAAAGCCGGCAATCGCCAACTAGTGGGCAGCCCCTCAGCTTAAGCAGTTCACTCGTGCTCTGCTATCCATTTTCTGCTAGAAAGCCCAGCTCAGGACACTCTCCTCTGAAACGCCTACCTCGGGTGATGCTACTTAAATTGGATTCTTGTGTCTCTTAGTAGATGCTAAACGCCTTGATTTAAAACAAAAAACAAAACTTTTCAAGCCTTCTCTAATTCTCAGTCAAAATAAATGCTAAATTGACATATTTTTGCCAAAATATATGACCATTGGTGTTTGAAAAGTGATGAGATCTTTACTAACACACACACACACACACACACACACACACACACACACACACACACACCCCTCCTGTATCTATAAGGCCTGAATTTTGTTTCCTTATCTTTACTTTAGAGACAAGGTCAAAAGATCAGGCACAGCCAAGTATGATATCTCAGGCCTGCAGTCTCAGCCCTCAGGAGGCTGTGACAGGAGGATCATTTGAGTCCAGCTCAGAGCCAGCTTCAAAAAAAAAAAAAAAAGATCAGGCATTTACCATTCCACAAACCTCATCTTAAACTTCTGTGACTATAGGGTCTGAAAGTTAGGCTTTTGGTTACAATGGCACTGGGGAAATATTAATTCAGGAGCTGCCTTGGGTTTGAGTATAAATTGTACCCTGGCTTGTGACAGTAATTACCACAAAAGAAGAAAGCTAAACATCAGCACAGAAGGAGGCAACATCAAATCTAGCAGGCTTTGTTAGTGGTGTGGAATGTCCTATTTGATTTAAATCAAGTGTCCGAACGTCCAGCCCCTTCAGTGGCAGTTCAAGCGAATCCGCTGAATTATAAATGGCCAGATCTAGGACTAAGAGCCTAATGCAGATTCGAGCAGCCAGGTTCTTCTGAGAAACCTACCCCACGCCTGGGCCCCTGTGGACCACCTAGCGTGATGGGAGGAATTTGACACCATCTTCCCCTACTTGCTTTTCCTTTCTAGAACCTTCCTAGGGACAATCTCACTGAAATTCATTCTTACTCACTGGAGGCTTCTGCATTCTGGGAACAAAGATTTCTCTGATTCCTGATCTGGCTTCATGAATACCTTGGGCCCCAGATCCTGAGACCTCCTGCAGATGATCCAGGTCAAGGGATAGGCTGGGACTCTCAGCCATCCGAGCAGGGAAGGCACATGGCAAGGGAATGCATCAAAAACAAGAGCTGCCTTGAGCCAGGCCTGCCCTGGCTGAAAGCCCAAGGAGATGAAGATGAAAGACCCCGCAAACAAGGATCTCTTGCCAGCATTAACGTATCAGCATCTGTGTTTGTTTAAAATATGTAGAGCTAGAGAGAGAGAGTGATTTTGTTTTCTCATAGAACATTCGGAGCCAATTTTGGCACCCAGATCTTCACAGGAAAACCTCATGGGGCTCTATGAGGTGTGAGCGGGCATTAAGGGCAGAATTTCCTGCCTGAACTGGAAATTCCAATGATAACTGACAGTGGATTATTATTTTCAAAGAAAGGAGAAACTGCTATACACTTGACACAGGCGGTCACAGTGGTATTTGTGCCCAGTGCTAGAAATCCAAGCGCTGAAATTAACCTTAGCAGCTCCCCAGACCAGCAGCTTTACCCCAGAACTTGTTAAAAATGCACATTCTTGGGCCTCATCCCAGGCCGCAGAAATCAGCAGGTCTGTGATAGGGCCCAGCAAACTGGCTTTTACCTGGAGGTTTAATCCTGCAAGGCATTCTAATGCACACTCCAGTGTAAGAAACCATGGCACTCCTTTCAAATTCATTGGCAAAAATGACCTGTAGCCTGGAAGATTCATGTGTTCGTTCTCCATTGATTGTACCTCCCATGTTCAAGACACCCTTCTGGCAGCAGTCAAGAGTTAAGGGGGACCCTCCTCCCACCCATTCGGAGTTCTGCAGGTAAATGTGCACACTGAACCCCTTGGAGAGCCTGGACCCCTGTTGCCAGCACAGCAGGCAGAAAACTGAGTGAACAGGACTGCTGACTTGGTTAGACTGCACAGCCAGTCCCAAGATGCCTGACTGTAGCACAGGTGTGACATTTTGAGGCATATATATTTTTGTTGTGGGAGACATCCTGTGCATTGTAGGGTATTTAGCAGCACCCTTGGGCCTCTTCCCATTTGATGCCAGTAGCACCTTTCTCTCCACTGGTAACATCGACAATTGCAGACCCTGTTGAGAACTGTTGGGTTAAACGAGAGAGCGCTGGCTCCAGACACGTAAGCCACATTACATAGTTGAAACTCTGGGTTCTGTGAAGGCCTAAATAAACCATCTTGGGTCCCAGTGGCTCCGCAACCCATGCCCTCATCTCTGCCCAGAAGGGATACCATGGGCAGATGACCTGAGTTCCAGGCCACCCTGACTGAGCCGACCTCTTTCTCCACCCAAACTTTTTCTGGGGTTGTGGAACTTGAGGCACGCCTCTGAGCCTGAAGATTGGCCCTCGGGAGCATGGCCCTTTGATCCTTGCATTGCCGCTTTCCTGGTTTGTGACAACACAAAACAAAAGTTTTCGAGACAATGCCACGGGGCTCTCAGATCTCTGTTCTCCAATACCATCTGTTTGGCAAAGGTGAAGGTGTTTCAAACAGGCTGATACTTCAGGAAACCATGAAAGAAAGCATAATATGGATATGTGTTTGCTTATTTGTGATTGATAAGAACTGCCCCTTCTGCAGCCTAAGCCACAGCTGGTTTCACCCCTTGCAGAACAAAGCTCACTGTCCCTATCTCCCGCCACCTCCCTTTGCCTGCCCCTAGACCTTGCTCCTGCAGCTGGCCTCTTCCTTTACAGATCAAAGACCATCTCTTGCCCTTGCTTTCTCCCAAATGCTACTTAAGATCAGACGGGCCGAGAGAAGCCGCTGCGCCATTTTCTCTCCACCAGCCAGCCTGCTTATTAAACTTTTGGACATGAGATAACTCTCGTGAGCCTCCTTTATGTGCGGTGTGCGGCGTTTTCCTAACAGTGATTCCATCCCCAGCAAAGGAGAGCACAGAATATTGTGCCCAGCTGCACCCAGCAGCATGGGAAAACACAAAATATGCATGCACACACCTCTCACCCACCCAAGTGCTGCCTCCATTAGCGCCTTGTTAAGAGCCAACATCCATTCAGCCTGCTGTGACAGCTTCCCCTCCAATTTCAAATTCCCTTCCTTCCATCCCTGTGCAGTAACTCATGAGCTGTAGCCATATAGACGTCCATGGCCAATTTCATGCCTTTCTCAGGTAAAGTGACAAGGTTATCGTCACTTTACGACGTAATGTAAAATTACCATTTTATTAGGTTCCCATCCCTTTGTTTCACTGTATCACAGATGAGGTTGTTGAGTATTGCATGCCTAACCCCATTTTTCCCATAAGTCCTGTGATTTCATTGCTCATTTCTGCGTAGGACTGTGATTTTGAGGGGCATATATGTCATATTATAGCAGAACTGGCTGTACCTTCTTCCCTAATCTAAGTGTCCTGTGGAAGTAGAAAAGGCAACACCAAGCCCTTCTCCTCAGGCTCCTCCCCTTTGACTCAACCTTCAGGCTGAGCCCAGACAGTCGTGTAACCTGGAAGCTTCCCTGGCCTTCCCAGGCTGCACTGGCCCCACACCCCTGCTTGAAGTTTCAAGGTCCCCTGCCTGCTTGGTTCTGGATATATACAGCTCGCTCACTGGCCTCACCTGTCTTCATGGCCTGCCCCAGTGCCCCGAGAGCTCCTTAAGGGCAGACGCGTGCCTTCATCATCACCTTTTCCTCCCAAGTCTGGCCGCAGCACACATTCTGTTCACACTGATGCAGTTACTCACCCGCTCCGTGTCACCAGGCACTGGCGAAGCCCCAGTTTGCGGAAGATGTCCACCACCGTCTCCATGGGGGTGTGGTCAGTGACCGTGAAAGGGCTCAGGTTCAGAATGCGCCGCAGCTTCAGCGGGTGTGGACTGTTGGCCGGAAGCTCAGGGGGCTCCTCCGTGAAGTACAGGATGGAACTGCTCACAGTGCCCTCCTGCCTCTGCCGGGCATTCTCTACAGTGGGGGTGGGTAAGCAGGAACAATGAGCCACACAAAACCCCTCACTGAGCTGCTCTCCGTATCCCCCCCAGCATCCTAGAATCCGACAGAAAAGGGGTTCAGAGGGCAAATGACACATTCATCATGAGGGCTTCAGCCAAACATCTGTGAAACTGGCATCTCTCTTAAACAAATGCTGGTGAGGGGCCCCCTGCTGAGACCAGACCATTTGTTGCCAATGTCTTGCGAGATGGCCTGACCAACATGGCTCCTTTGGGGATATTCACTGCTTCCCTTTGGACCCCCAGAGCACCCCAAGCCACCCAGGACCCTCCATCCTTGCTTTATGAACACTCCTTCACCTCATCGTGGGCTGAAGTTTGCCTGACAAGAAACCTCATTTAACCGCCCAGGGACATTAATACATTGTTTTCTTTCTTTCTTTCTTTCTTTTTTTACAAACAAACTTACAACTGGCTTAATTGGCATTATGAATCCTAAGAGGAATAAGGAACCAATAAGACCAACCCAGGCTCACAGCCCAGAAATGCAGCTCAATCCCAAATATGACCCTTGGGACTAAAGAAACAACCCCAGAAAAGCTGCATCCCCCCACTCCTTGGATCTCCTCTCTTAAAAATGGGCCATTTCGTCGATTTCTTAAAGAAAGATAGTAAAACTGTTATGGTAGCAATTAGTCTATTTCTGTCTGTAGGCAAGGCCACGTGAAGCTGAATAAAAGTAGGGTAACAGGAACTCATTAGAAATACAGCTTACTGCAGTGCTAGAAACCCAGGCTATTTTAAGTCACACATGAAATAAATCCATCCGTCTCAAGATATTTCTCCAAGGCAATTTTCCTTCTGTTGGAATTTTAATCTTTCTTTTGGTTCATGGGAAAAGGTTAGGAAAAATGTACAGCAGGGCCTGCCTTAAAATGAATCCTGGTTTCTATAATACAGCTCTTGCCTTCTCAAAGACAACTATTCACCTATATTGTTCTTTCAAAAATAAAATTCTAACTGCCTCCTCTAAAGCCATTTAGTGCAATCGAGCACTCTAATGGAAAACTGGCAGCATTTGGGGTCACGCTGACTCTGAAAAGGGGTCTCTGTTGAAAAGAGGAACAGAGGGCCTGCTGGGCAAATGCCTGCACATTATATGGGTCACGTTAAATCTAGTTACATCAAATGGGATATGATTCAACCACAAATACCAGACAACGCTGGTGCTCAACATGTTTTCAAATGCATCTAGATCCTGCATGACACATTCAGCCATTTATACACTGTGTGCTTCTCTCCTGAACCAAGATGGCTCTGTTCTTAAGCACTAAGGCAGGAGGCAACAGTCAGCACGTACTACTTGCTCACTCTCATAGACCAACTGATCCTCTTAAAGTCCCACATAACAGGATTTCCATCTATTTTAACACGCAGATTGAACATCAGGATTAGATCAAGCCATAAACCCCTATCAAGAACTGATCACATGGATTTTCCAAAGCCCTTAGAAAAGCAAATACAACTTAGTGAATCATCCACCCAGTTGCTGAAATAAATAAGCTCGTATTTTCTCTGAATCTACTGATTGAGTTAGAAGCCCTGATTCTAACTGTTACTCACTCAATAACCTCTTGTTCATCAGTGCCAAGACGGTGCCTAGCACACAGTAGACCCAAACCAGACATTTGCCACATGCATGAATGGATGAGTCGGTCCACTACAGGTCAGTGTATCTAGTTCTGCCGTCATGTAGGACACAACCTATTTCACAGAGGAGGCATTAGGAAGGGAAGCCTGGGAGCTCTTCAATGCCAAGCAAGGATTGCAACATAGGCCGAGGTCAGCACTGGAGATCTGATCTGTGCTCCTTGCTGCTCCAGGTGGCAGCCGCTGCTCTCCTCAGAAAGGCTTTACTAGGCCACTTTGGGAAGTATTATAAACTCTTATATTAAGGCTTCAAACTTTGGATGTGGAGGCACTATGTACTGGCCAAAAGCTAATGAATGGGAAAACAACAACAACAACACAAACCAGAAGAGAGTTCTTTGCAAGTCTCTACTGGAGTGAACCAGCTACCCTACGTTGAACCAGAAATCTTCATCGCTCACCAAAATGCCTGCAACAAAACCATAACACGTCAGTTCACAGGGGACAAATGCTGTATAGTGACATCCCTAGACTCCAGCACCGAGGAGAGTATCTACACATGGTGGACATTCAAGAAATAGTTCCTGTATCAAATGATAAACCAACTCTTCACCCAGAGATGAATATGTGCTACAAGAGAACAGAAGTGTAGTCCCCAACAATTCCTGGGAGCCCATGTTGGAAAAGAAATAATAATAATAATAATAATAATAATACAGCCTCAAACACATATTTTTAAAGATCCAAAACAAAAGACATTAAGAAAATGCACTGAGGGCTGGAGGGGTAGCTCAAGTGGTAGAGTGCCTGCTTTGCAAGCGTGAAGCCCTGAGTTCAAACCCCAGTCTCACCAAACAAGAAGGAAAAAAATGCCTGAATATTAACCATGGTCTTCTACAGTGGTGAGAAAGAGGGTATCTTTTTCAATTTTTCCATTTGCTTCTGATTTTTCCAAAATTCTATCTGCATATCATTTTTACTTTTAAAAATATAATCCATTTCATTTTATGTTTTGAAAGTTCAAGCAGTTAAACTGTTTTTTAAAATGTTTTTAATGAGCCAGGCATGGTGGCACATACCTGTAATTCCAGTACTCAAGAGACTGAGGCAGGAGGATCATGAGTTTGAGACCAGCCTGAGCTACACAGATAGACTCTGCCTCAAAAATAAATAAATAAATATATTTTTATATAGAGGGCTTATCATAAATTACATTAGATCTAGTCTCAACGGACACAACTCCTGAACAATTATGTATATTTCATGAGCACCTGCTAAGGTTATTCAACTTGACATTCCACTTTCTAGCAACAATAATGCCAGATTCAACAAAGGTAATTAATAAAGTGTTGGTGAGATGATTCTCACACACTACAATAGATCAAGGAATTTTAAAAGATTGGAAATAATCCCACATCCAGTAAGCTACTGAGTGACTTTAGAGCAATGATTCTCAACTGGAAGCAATTCTGTCCCCACCCTCAGAGGACATCTGGCAATGTTTGGAGACATTTTTGGTTGTCACAACTGGAAAAGGCCAGTGCTACTAATGGGCTAATGAGGAGAGACCAGGGATGTGGTTCAACACCCTACAATGCACACAACAGCTCCAAACATCAGTGGTACTGAGGCAAGGACCTCTATTTTACAATAATCATTTAGAGGAGGGAAAACTCTACCATCCTGTGCATTGAAACTGCTTCCATAAGACAGTTATAATTAATGACAGTTTAAAATGCAAATTTGGAATCAACCACTACAGTGGTTGAAAAGATACGATTTAAAAAGTAAAGACCATATAGAAGAAAAAGCAGATTATTTTATAAGTCATTATCTACTAAGGCATGCAGGAGAAGTCCTTCTGTATATACATATCTCCATACATTTTAACATCCTCAGCAGACAGAAGTAGGTGATACCACTGTTCTCCATGACCTATTTCAATAATTAACAGCCCTCCCAAGCAGCCCATTAGACAGATCCGACACTTATATTCTGGTTCAGGCCTGGTCAAAGATCTCTTTCTGCAAGTTAGCATCTTCCACATGCTGGAGAATCATCCAGCAGATGAGAAAATTGAGTTCCCTTAACTCTTCCCCATAACTCTAACTTTCCATTCCTTTAATCATCTTTGCGGCTTCCCACTGAGTGAACCCTTACTTGTTTAATTTGCAAGAGTCAACACTAGAAGAGCCGGAGTCCTGCTGAGTACAGAAAGACCCTCGTATGTGCAAAGAGTAACAAGAGGTAAACGCCCAGTTACCAGGAATTTGGACAAGGATCCAAATCCGTCATTGTAAAGAGGACCGCTTTGCCAGGTGGTGCAAACATCACTCTGTAACACAGACAATGGGCTGTGCTCAGCATTCCAGAGATGGATTGAAAATAACAAAACATTTTCAGTTCCATGTGAGCAAGCTGCTGCAATCTTAAACATGACATGTAAGAAAAATCCTTATTTGCCTCATTTACCATTCTTATCTTATAATCATCCTGGATCTGCATCCCATGATAATCTTTGCTTCCAATTCCCCTAAAAGTGAACCTGGCATGGGACAGCTTTTGGCTAAATGCTTAATGTTATATTTCTATATTCATACAAGGGTGTGTAATTCCTCAAATACAGGCCATGAATTTCGCCACCAGAATACAATGTGTCTTCAATTTCCACAGATCAGGAAAACAGCTTGTCTGATTCCTTGCAGTGAAACATGCCTCACCTTTTCACAAACCATCTAAATAGCAGCTTCTCCTCCATTATCGGCTGGACTGAAAGCACAGAGGTATGATTTACACCGCGTGGTGCCTCTTCAGACATTCCAAACGTAGCTTCTGAGAGAGTGCTTGCTTGCGAAGCTTAAATTTCTTCCCCATCTAGTTGATGTCAATTACTGCTTCCCACTTGATTACAGTAATGGATTTCAGCAAAATTAGTAAGCTATCTCTTAGCAGGTGTGCCTGGAGCTACACAATAGGTAATGGATTTGGTGACATTTATTACAGTAGATTCTAAATTTCAGCCTTTGCTTAAAATATTTTAGGGACTGAATAAATTTTTAAAGGCTGCTGATTATGTTATTTTAAAACAAACCCAGCCCTACTTAAACAACTTTTTAAAACTCTCATTATTTGTAAGGCAATATTTACCTTAAAGGCACCTACCTGTTCCAAGACAGGACCTATAATAAACAGAACTATCACCAAGCACTCAAGCACAAACTTGCCATGGTATCTAAGAGGCAGAATCAATCTTTGCTTGGAGGAGCTAAACATGAAAATTAGAGGGTACAGATTACCTAAACTAATTTTTGTAAAGCCTTTGAGGAAGATACGTTAAAGTTATTTTTAAAGCTATTTAGCATGGGCGAGAGGTGGTAGAAATGGAAGGCAAGTGCCTTAGAAACAGGAAGGTGAAGATGTGTTCATAGTGGGACAATGGACAGCCGTACCAATGAAAGGAAATCCTATGGTGTGTTACAGGAACAGTCTGGAACATATAGTGGAGTGACATTGTCACATGCACATGTGAACTGTGCCATGGGCCCCAGTCTACCACGTGATTCGGGGGTGTTGCACAGATCAAGGGCAAGAATGCTGAATAGTGGTGTTTGCTGGGGGGGGGGATGGGCTACACTGGTCCCTGCCCCTGCAGTATCCTGAGGTCCACAGGACTCTCTGAAGCTCAGTGCTTCTCCTTGCCTGGGGCTTCCCATGACTCTCACCCAGGCCTCTGGCCTTTGGAATCCTTCTACCTCCATCCAACTCCCCTTCCACTGCAACTGTCTCTACACTGATGGGGTCACAGGCTGACCTCTCTGAACTACCTGTCTTGGGACACCCCACCTCAGCATCACCCTCTTCTCTCCTATTTCAACTCAACAGCCTGGCCCAGGGCAGCTATTCAAACTGAAATAATTACATGGAATTGATTTCAGGCCATGCTGCTCATTAATCCATATGGGCCTCTATGGCAGAATGGGACTTGAGGTCACACAGTGAAGCAGAGTTGTGCAGAGGCGAGTGTGGTATGAGGGCAGAGAACTCACCACCTAAGTGGGTTGAAACTCCATCTCTGAGACCAGTTCCGCAGGGGCATCTCCGACCTCTCACACCACCCCTTCCTTCTCAGATCATCCAACAGCTCCAGAAAAACAGAGCAGTAGTGTGCCCTCTGGTAACAGTGCTGCCCAGTGGCTGCCTGCACGTGTGGTTGTCTGTCCTGAGCTGGGGATTTATACCTTTGTTCCTCACAGTATGACTTGGGGACAAGGAGCATCAATGTGAAGGAAGAGCTCAGGAGGAATGCAGAGTTTTTGGGCCCCAACCAGGCCTATTGGATCCGAATCTGCATTTTAACCAGCTCCCAGGTGACAGATCTGCATTAAAGCTTGAGAGCTCCTGGCATAATGAACATTCCCTTGAATCCCTGTGACAACCCTAGGGGTCCACAGGCTCCTATGTGTGTCTTAGTGAAAGGTGAGCTTCCTTGCCCTTACTTACTTATTGCTAGGATCAGCTCCCTCCTCTGTGCGAACCCAATGAGGCGCTCAGAGTCTCTGGAGACCACCACAGGGAACCCATTGTAGTCCGTTTCTTTGATGAGTGTCTCCACGTCCTCCACGGTCATGCTGTCCTGGGTAAGGACCGACAGTGGCAGCTCTCCCCGTCGGGGCCGCATCACATCAGTGGCCAGGGTGCGGTGGGTGAATTCATCCTTCACATCGAGAAACGGGTACCCGTTTAGGTGAATGTGGGCCTCATAGATGCCTTCTTTCCCAAAGGCATCAGCCACCCACTTGCTGGTCACGGCTGCTGCCATCAGGGGCACGATGTACTCCAGACCTCCCGTTAATTCAAACATGATGACCACCAGTGACACTGTCATCCTGGTCACTCCACCTGCAATGGAAGAGGGGAGTGGTATTCCAAAACTCACCCCAAATCCTCATGAGAGCACAACTTGTGGAAACTGACAGGCTTATAGCCCAGAAATGTGGTTCAATCCAGGCTAGGTTCTCCTTGGATAATGAAGACTCAGTTCTCCTGTTCCAAGTAGTCCTTCACATATGCTGCCCATGCTTGGGCTCCATTAAACTCAGTCTGAACTCAGGAACTGTGAGGTGCCTGACTGGGGGCTCTGCTCCTATAGGAGACCCTGGGTTAATCACCCAGACCACAAGCCTAGCTTTTTAGTGAGTGGATCTGACATGGGCCATGAAGGCTTCTAACTACACAAGCAGTCCACAAGCTGCAAAATTTAAGCGACTCTTAGGGATTAGATTGGAGAGGCACCCAGCTTTGCATCCTCTTGCAGTCAAAGAGAATCCAAACTTACTCCTAATGTAATAAACTTAAGCCATGTTTTCATGACGTCACACTAAGGACACCCAGGGCTGGGTTATTCTTTATCAGGACTGTCCTATGCACTATAGCGAGTTTAGCAGCACCCTTGACCTCTACTCATTACACACAAGCAACACCCCAAAACTGTCTTCAGACATCACCAAGCATCCTGCCAGACATCATTATTGCCAAGTGTCCCAAGGAGGCTGAATCACCCTGGTTGAGAAGTATTACCCAGGTGGTATAGCCTGGGGCCCTGAATGACCAAATGGAGAACAGTCTTTTGCTACCTCATGTTTCATATATATATATATATATATATAATGTATCTATACATATATATGTTATATTTATATAGCGAACAAGATCTAAGTTCACTATAAGTGCTAAGCTACTGAGATGTAGATTACTTGTTACCACACTGCAACTATCTTATCCTGAGTGAAGACAAAGGTCTTCCTTCTTGCTGGTCCTCTAAGCCAGATCAGCATGCCCCCATCCCATCCCGTCCCCACATGTGGATGTACCTAAGCAGGCTGCAGCTCCCACCATTGCATAAAGTCCTGGCGTCACACAGTCTGCTCCAGGTCTGCACCAATTCCTGAAGATGATCCAGTCGTGGTGATGGTAAGCCAGCTGCTCCACACCAATTCCTACCATCCTGCCTGCCATGGCTCCTACAGCCATACTAGGGATGAAGAGGCCAGAGGGAATCTTAAAGGAGCACAGACAGAAAAGCAGGCTGAGATAAGGAAGCCAAGTTCATACCTTCCAGCCCCCAGAAAATGGAGGTCCCCTCTCTACAAGATAGCATTTGCCTTCAGTCTTCAGAAGAGGCACAACTTTTTACAACAGGTCAGTGGGGAAAAGGTGGGACAAGTGATTTGACCTGCTTAGTCACTGAAGTGTACTGTGACTTGGAGAGAATGCAATTTGACACTTTTGTTTCCTCTCTTTGAAAAGCTGGCCAGTTTGTCTGCTGTGGATTAAAGAACGATAAAGCCCACTGCAAGTAGCATTCAAAGCAAGCGCCCATCTCCTGAGACTCACCGCTTTCTCACTCCCTTGCTGTGTCATTTAGACTGGCTTTGAAAACTAAATGCAAGTCACAGCATGAAAGTGCAAAAGAAGGGCCTGAAACTGCTCCCAGGTAAAAAAAAAAAAAAAAGAGCAGAGCACATCTGTGCAGCAGCCCTGATCTTCCGAAAAGCTTTTCAAGAGCTTACTGCCCTCTTTAAAGGATGGTGGCTTGACACCTGTCAGAGAGAGAGAGAGAGAAGGAAAAGCTCCCCCTTCATAATGAGAAGTACTCTGAATATTTTCTAGTTAGGTTAAGGGCATCAAATAAACAGACCACGTAACTAAGAGACTTCAGTAGCAGCGAGTTTTCTTAGTTGAATGAAAATACATTTGGGGTTATCTGGTGACCATACATGTGTTACAGAACATGTCTGACTCCCTGTGTTCTTTGAGATTCCACATGCTTATGCATGCCAAGCAGCAGCTGCATTTCTGCCATGCCAGGGGGGTCCATGATCTAAGGATAGAAGCAGCTCTCTCTCTCTCTCTCTCTCTCTTCTTCTTCTTCTTTTTTTGAGATGGGGTCTCTCTATGGCGCCTAGGCGGGTGTTGAAGTCATGATTCTCCTATCTCCTTCCTGAGTACTAAGATTACAGGCATGCACCATAATGCCTGGCTGCAAGCATTTCTTTTACCCAACTGAAGGGAAGTTTGGATCTTCACATATGAGTTCTACAGTTTAGGACATTCCTTAGTAAATTGTTTCTTTCTGAATTTCCCTTATTATACGGTCATTTCCTCCCCTGTAACTCCCAAGTACACTTCTCCCAGCAAGCACCAAAAGTCTTCCTTGGACATGAAAATAAATCTCTGGATCAGAGGCAGTCAGCTGTTTAATGAAGTCCACCATCCTTGTTCTTAAGGCACAAGTTCCAATTGTGCTTTAACAGCCCACCATTTCTGCTGGGCCCTGGTGGCTCACACCTCAAATCTTAGCTACTTGGGAGGCTAGATGGGGGCGTAGATGTTGGAGGCCAGCCCAGGCAAAAAGTTCATGAGACCCCCATCTCAAGCAACAGCTGGGTGCAGTGGCAGGTGCCTGTCATCCCAAGCTACGAGGGAGGCTGAGATCAGAGGGGTTCATGGTTCCAGGCCAGCCCAGGCAAAAAAGTTTGCGAGACCCCATCTCAACAGAAAGAAAGCTGGGCTTGGTAGGGTGTGCTGTGTAACTGGTATCTCAGCAAAGGCGAGAAGCATAAAATAGGAAGATATAGTTCAGGCTGCCCTGGGCAGAAAGCAAGACCCTACCTCCAAAACCACCAGGAAAAAAAAAAAAAGAACCTACCATTTCTTAGACCTTTTACAAAGAGACAATTCATAGAAATACTGCACTAAAAATAATAGAAATGGAACAGAACAGAGGGCTGGGGAAGTGCTCTGCTTCCAGTCCTGGGTGCTAGTTACACGCATGTGTATTTTGTGAAATTTAAAAAAGCTGTGCACCTCTGTATGAATGATATATTCTAATAAGCTTTTAAAAAAAAAGCAACAATGGGGGTGGAGGTTTGGCTCAACTGGTAGAGTGCCTGCCTAAACAAGCACAAAGCCCTGAATTCAAACTCTAGTACTGCCAACGAAAATAAGCAATAATGGTACGAGTCACAATAACTAAAAGGTAGAAACAACCCAAATGTCCATCAAAGGATGAGTGGATAAACAAAATGTGGAATATCCATGGAATGAAAAATGCTATTACACCAAAACCAGGATCAAAGCCTTGACACATGCTACAGCATGGAGGAACCCTGAAGAGAGGATGAGTGTGAGCCTCTGCCATGGTCCCAGCCACATCCAGGTCAGGGCTGTGCTCATTCTGAGCTTCATGCACTGGCTTGGTGTGCGGGGCGCTCCCCACACAGAATCCAAATGCTGGCTTTGCATGGGTCTCTCCCAGAGCCATGTGCTCTTCAAGGACAGCATTCTGTGTTGGGTGGTGTCCCTCAGACACTGCACGGTGCCCAGGATACAGTCGATGCTCAAGGCATATTTACTGATCCAAATGGAGCCAAACCTGGGCTTTATCCACCTACCACCTGTCATCACCCAGCGGGCAGGTAAACCTGTGCTTACCACCTGGTCTGGGCAGGTGATAAACTGGCTTTGGAGCCTAGTTCTGTCTCCCATAAACTGAGGGTCTTACCAAGCCACCTGTGGCCTCTGAGCTTTAGCAATCTTAATAGGAAAATGAGATTAAAATGTCTACCTCATTGGCTTGTTGCTTATTAAGAGAATTGTTTCCTGATGATTCAAAGAATGTCAAGTACATAAGAACATTCAAGAAAGGTCAGTTCCCCTTCCCTTCAAAGCACAATTTTATTCTGGAGAACAGTATGCTGTCCCCAGAAAGCCATGCCTTCCCTCTCTTCCCCTTCACTTACCTTCATGCCAAAGGTAAATATGGTAATGACGATTTTGAAGATCAATGCCAGGGCCAGCTGCCACATAGCCGTGTAAACCCCAACCCCAGCTGGCCGGTCTGGAATGTCATCCACAGGCCGAGTCATGTTGGGGTCGTTGATGTAGTCACATAGCTGGGAGGACTCAAGGGCCCCACAGTCATTGAACAGCTCAGAAATGAGCTCACTGGTGCTCTGGCGTGTGTAGGGGTTGGGGTAGGCAACGATGGCAGTGATGGCTGTCACCACGATGACCTCCAGCACCGGGTACTTCCCCAGCCTGGTAGTTTTGCGCCTCCTGCACCAGGCGATGTTGCAGCGGGTAAAGAGAGTTCCCCACAAGCCCCCAAAGACGCCAAGCAGGATGAAAGGGAAGAGTTCAGCCATGTACCAGGGCGTATGGTACTCCACGTAGAAGAGAACCAGGCGGCTATTCCCAAAGGGGTTGATGGATCTCAGAGTGAAGGCTGCCACAAGGGCTGCGAAAAATGACCTCCACAAGGTCTTCAAGGGAAAGTAGTAACTGACCTGGGACGAACAAGGAGAGAATCAGAGAGTGGACAGAGAAAGAGCTGCTCAGAGTGTTCCCCTTGGGTTTGCAGCCACCTGCTGTTGCTTGCCATAAAATACACAATCAGACTGCTATAAAGTGAGTCGACCACACTCACTTCATCAGGCTAGGTTTACTTGTGACCAAAACACACCAACAAAGATACTTAAAGGGATCGATGTCAAAAAAGTGAAATGGATACCGGTCAATGTGGGTTTGAACTACATTTTTAAGAGAAGTAAAGGGCTGGAAGTGTATGTCAGTGGTAGAGCCTATGCTTAGTACGCTCAAGGCCCTGGGTTCAATCCCCAGCATAAAAAAGAGGAAAAAAATGAAAATATTTATTCATGATACTGTTCATAGCGCAGAGGTTCTCCTAAAAGCAAACAGACCTCTGGATTTGATTCTCTAGACAATAGAACAGGTAAAGGGCTGATGACCCTAGCCCACAAGGCAGCTTTGGTCCAGAGAATATCTGTATGTCACATGAGCTAGGAATTGTTATTAACAGTTTTAAATTGTTGGAAAAGAAAAAAAAACTACTCATGACACAAAATATTCCTTCAAAAGAAAAACAGTTTGTGACGCCTGAGAATTACATGAAATTTAAATTTTGGATTCCATAGGGGAAATGGGGCACATGCCACACCCACTCTGAATGTACTAGCTGGCTGTTTTTCTGCAGAGTTCATTGGACAGATGTAGCAGAAATTGTGTGGCCCTTGAAGCCTAAAATACTTACTATCTAGCTCTTTTCAGAAAACATTTGCCAACTTATGGTATGATCCATTCAGGTTTCAAAACCAAATTAGATGAGGATACTGTACATCTTCCCAGAAAATTACTTGGGCAATTTGTAAAGGAATATTTGTGTATGTAACAGAAGGAACTGTGGCTTCTTAATTAACTGCAGGAACCTCATTCAATACCTCTGTGAATCTAATTCTCAAAGGGCAGGAGATGAGAGCTCACTGCTCTGCCAACTTAAAACCATGCATGCCCCGCTGGCCTTCTCACCTCCTCTAGACTGAACAGCACACCCCCGATGGGAGCACCAAAGGCCACGGAGACTCCAGCAGCAGCTGCAGCCGAAAGCACCTACAAGGCAAGGGGTTATAAGTAGGCTCCCGGGCCCTCCGCACAGGTGGGACAGGGAACAAGCTCGGAGTAGAAACCTCCTCTGCAGGCAGTGGCTGAGTGGGCTCACCTCGCGCCTCTTGCCCTCATTCTTGCTGTACTTAGAGAAAAGGCTGCTGAAGAAGTTGCCACAGCAACAAGCCACATGGACCAGTGGCCCTTCCTTTCCAAGGCTCAGGCCGGAGGACACGACCAGCACCAGGGTGACTGTCTTGATGAGCAGGGTCCATTTCCCCAAGTAGCCTCTGATGATGAAGCCACTCAAAATGGTCTTTATCTGAAACAGCAGATTGGAAAGCAAGGGGAAATGAACCACTGCCGTCCATGGCTAGGAAAACGGCTAGTATTCCTGTGAGCTAGAGACACTAAATCACATGGAAGGAAGGTTATTTCAGTTTGTGATTTAGCTATAATTCTATACCAAGAGAAGTGTGTGTTACAATAGTTCCCTTTACCCATGGCAATACATTCCAAGACCTTCAGTGGATGTCTGCAGCCTGAGATGGTACCAAACCTTACATATACTACACACTGTTTTTTTCCTATGCATCCATACCTATGATAAAGATTATGAGCTTAATCACAAAAACTGTCAATAAAATAGATCAAACATAACAATCAGAACATGTTTTCTGTTCATGTCATCCACCCATAAATGTAATGCCTTTTCCATCTGAACTGAGCAGTTACTGTGTACTGTGGCCATAACTTCTGCAGTTTGAAGCGTGACAGCAAAAGTAGCGTGAAATGCTTTCTCCTTCATAATTTCATGGAAAGGAGAGAGATCTTAGCAACCTCAACATACGATGGTTCTTCTTTCCAGAAGTCAAAAACTTTCACCTTTTCACTTAAAAGAAGCACTTTATGGCTTCTCTTTGACATATGCAAACTGCCACTGTCACCACTCTTGTACTTTGGGGCATTATTAAGTAAAATAAGGGTTTCTTGAACACAAGCACTACAATGCCATAGCAGTCAACCTGACAACCAATACACCTACAAAATGACTAACAAGGGGGCAGCGTATACAGCATGGACACGCTAGATAAAGGGATGACTCATGTCTTCCAGGTAGGATGGAGCAAGAAGATAAGAGATGTTTATTATGCTAAGAACAGTGTGCAATTTGTTGTCCAAATCTTTCAACTTTTCTGTACATTTGAAAATATTCTTAGTACAATGTTGGAAAATTAAGGTAGTCAACATTCTAATACTGTGTTTGAATCCACAATGACCCTTCTCTTCCATCAAATCTTACCTCTTGCATTGAAAAGGACTTTGACTACAGGGGGAATTTTCTTGCTCCATTTTCAGACTTGCTCCATTTTGTAAATGCCAAATAGTGGCTTTCTTCCTACAAGTGCACTTGAGTTATTGCCTAGCACATCTGGAATTCAACTAGATTCCAATCTTAGCTTTCTTTTGAAGAGAGAGGCATCACCAATGGCTAAATAACTTTTCTACCTCTAACCTGTCCCATAATTGGCTAAAATGGAGTGTTTACTGCTGAGCTAGCAACTTATAATAAATTAGACACTGAGTCAATGAAATTCTCAATGTCTGTTTTCCCATTGTGTACTATGTAACAGAGCAATGTCATCTCTTGTCAATGTAATTTACATAACTTCAAAATGCCTCCTTGCAAGTTCTCAAATAGCTACTTCATTCTTTCTCAACCTTGGTGCTCATAAGAATCATGGTATCAAGTGTCAGAAAACACAGTATGGAAGACTGGCACTCCCCACAGAGATTTCATGTAATTGGTCTGAGATGCATCCAAGGTATAAGGAGTTTTATAGGCTCTCCAGGTGATTCTAAATGTTCCACTCATGAAAGAGTAGCACAAATTTAATTTCTCAATATTTAAGGGACAGCCCCAAAACACTCTTTGTTCTTTCACTAGCTCCATCTTGTCAACTTTGGTGATTTGAGAAGGGCTCTGGTCAAGCCAGTTTTCATCTCAGGAATTATTAATAGAGATCCTTTTTACACTTGAAGGAGAAAAAGAGGGTGAGGGGAAGAGAGAGAGCACCCAAGAAAGTGTATGTGTGGGATGTGTGTATGTGCGTGTGTGTGTGCACATGTGCGTGTTCCCCGAAAAGCTCCAGGAAGCCTCTTTTTATACAGCACATGAGGTCTCCTGACTGTATTCAGTATTTCTTGAGCTAGCCTTTAACTAATGCCAGACAAACTAGCAGTGGTTAAACTAGTCTTTGACTAGTGGTTGTTGGTCTAATTGATTCTGTGCTCTGGGGATCTCAGATCCCTTTATTTAAGGGATATTTTATTATGCCTGCCATAATCCTGCCCTTTTGTGTTGCCTTGAATAAAATTATCTATAATTTTTTGTCAGTTAGTTAATGTGGGTTTGGACCCCAGGGTACAGTTTAAAAGCGTATTACCATTTGGAAAATTACAAGCATCTAAATTACCTGAGCCTTTGCCAGTCATGACATGTGGTAAATTGAACAATATAATAGGTATTTTGCAATTCTCTAAAATGATTTTATAAAATTGTCATGACTGAATTAGGAATAGGAAGCCGAATTCATTCCCAGTAGATGCCAAAATCCAATTGCGTGTGTTAATTTGAACTCACAGAGACTGAAGAAAGCAGGGTTTTAACAAGATGCATTGTGGTGGATTTGTGATTGAGTGGTGTTACTCTTAAAACCAGAACCCAGTGTAACTGATTAATATTTGTATGAGTGTTTGTGTTTTCTGGGAACAGAAACAGAAACGTCAATGCCTAATAAGTTCTGAGAGGGTGTGACTTCTTATATGGTTGATAGTGGTTCTGCTGATGAAGAAGAAAGAAGTGGAAAGAGGCGCACACTTGCCTGGTTCTCTCTCAACTCCCAAATTAAAGAAACCAGGAGTGTTCCCTTGTGAATGGGATTCATACAATTTATGCAATGCATTCATTACACAGAAAAAATTTCTAAATTTGCATTTTAAAGTATTTCCAAAGGAATTTTCATTCCAAGTAATCAAAATATTTTGGAAGGAAATGCTAGGGAGGCTGAGAAATTTTTAAAATGTACCTTGGGCTAGGGATGTAGCTCAGTGGTAGAGCACTTGCCTGACATGTGGGAGGCCCTGGATCCCATCCCCAGCATTGTCAAAAAATTTTAAAATGTGCCTATGTACATTGTACTCAAAGTCCATTCTTATATTACGTGACATACAACAGATTACAGAAGAGTACTTTTAGCAATGATAAATAGATTTTCTAAATAGCTCAGCTAGTATCTTTGCTAACATGAGGGAGCACTGCTCAACGTCCGAGTTGAAGCTGGTTTATACTGAGCTGGGTTTTGACTGGGAAGAGCCTCTTTTTTATTCACAACCTACTTATTTACATTGGCTTTTTACTCTGCTGTTTCCTCCAGGAACCGGGGTAGGTTCTGCATCCCAGGAGAAGGAGTTCCAGCTCTACTACACTAACAGTGAAAACGCTGATACTGCTACTGAGTCTTAGTAGCCAAATGTAATTATAAAACCTCTATTAGTTTCTGATGCTTTAAAAGTTTGTCACGAATGCTTTTATAAATAGAGAAGTGATTCTATTGCATACTTCTGTGTGGTTAAAAGCATGTCAATAAAACAAGGGTGAGTACCTTTGGAAGCTTTGTGTTTGCTTCCCCAGTAGAACCTCCCTCCTTCCCTGCACCACTTCCAATCATTTCTCTGCCTTGCTTGCTTGGGTTAGCACATATGTTGCTTCACTGGGACTGCTGGTGGACTTCCCATGAGTAAAATCATGCTTTATGTATCCATCTACAACTCTCTTCGCTTGACAGCACACTTTTGAGTTTCATCCATGTCAAGGTGTTCCTTGTCCTTTTGTCATATAAGAAACTTAAATGCTCTACTCAGTATTTTACTCCCTTTGAGTTCAGCTATCACCAATAAAGATGTCCACTTCAGAAAAGAAAAGTCCAAGCAGCTCCTCAAAGACCAAATTCATGCTCAAGCTTCCTGTCTGTCTATATGATCACCAGCTGAGCCCTGAGTCTCTGCTGCTTGGAGGGGGAGGGGGCACACACATTACGTCTTTTATTACTGCTTTACATTTTCAACAAGCTCCCCACTGACCATCTCCTTCTTTTGGAAAGGCATGAGTCAAAAATGCCTACTAGTAGGTAGTGGGGCCATACACTGGGACACCAATAATGATCTGTCCTTTATTGTCCAGCCTTTGGGTATCAAAATACAGTCAGTTCTGCTGTAACGCTTGCTTTGAACATGCAAATCGGTCCCAATGTTATTCACACATTAGGGATGAGTTTAAGCGTGATGAACATTTTGTGTCTGTTTATGCACAATTTTCTCTGGGGGAAATACATGGCGAACACAGAAAACTACACCCAGTAGAACTGAGTCATGTAGAAAAACACAAAATGCACATTTGCACATGCCTCAAACACCAACCAGGTTACACACATGTGCTAGGGTGCCGTGGCTATCCACACCTGCTGCCACAGCTTCCTGCTGACTTCAGATCAGCCTCCTGCCCGCCTTCATAGTAATACTCAGGCTGCAGCCCTCTGGTGCCCATTCCCACAAGCAAACGTCAAGGTTTCTCAACAAGTGGTGTATATGGATTGTGGTATTTGCATATGTCTCAGCCATTTAATGTGTAAAACTGTGCTACATCTTTTCCCCCTGTGTCACCAAGGAAATTGAGTAGTGTGGCCCCTCACTCATCTCCATAAGCCCCGGGGTTTTCAGCGTGCCCCTTTGCATAGCATAGTGGTTTTTCAAAGTGCACATGTCCCATTCCAGCAAAACTGGCTACACCAAGAAAAAAGGATGGTAATGCAGTTTGGTTTTCAGGTTTCTGAAACAACATGTTTAAAAAAAAAAAAGCCACCACCAAAAATTCAGTAAGACACAGTAAGGCTGTTTTTTCTATATCTCTTGAAGTAAAATCATGCTGTGTTTTTCCTGTGACCATCTTCTAATAACTACAGCCCTTCCTGTGAACTGCCTGGCCTGGCATCGGTGTTGGAAGGCACTAGAAGGTCAAGCTCCATGCCACAGTTGGGCCCACGACTCTGTGTTCAATCTACCTGTGGGCATTGCCAAAGCACAACTCAAAGAAGAACTGGACTGAACTGATGGGAGTGAAAATACAAGAACTTCCAGCCTTGATTCTGGCTAAAACTTTTGTTGGGTGGGCTTTTTCAGGAATGAGCTCAATTGCCATCTTTCTACCCAATGGACTCTTCTGTGTTTCAAGGTCAGTCTCAGACATTCCCCTTGATCAGTGAGGTCATTTCCCTCAAGTGCTGGTTACATGAAAGTGCTGAAAACGACTTCCCAGAACTCTAAATTCCCAGTGTGTGCACTGAAAGTGGAATTAATTTTTTTTTAAAGATTGCTATTACCTTGTCACCGGAAGAGCACAAAGAGACAAAGGAGAGTGATCATCAGTGAGGTTTCTCAACAACAGTCCTCCACGGTCGTCTATTTTCACATTACATCAGAGATGTGCTGACGAGTAACTGCGATGCCACATTTCTGTGGGTGGGGAATGAACTCTGCTTCTACAGGCTTTAAGAGCCAAGCCAGGATGACAAAGACAGAGTCTTAATCACCTGGGAGGCAGCAGAATGACTGATATCCTGAGTACTAATCCTTAAGTCAGACTGCCAGGTTCAACTCACAGCTTCCCAGCGTGGTGATCTTGGGCAAGTGACTATACCTGTCTGTGCTTTACTTCCCTACCTCGGAGGCTTGGCTCTGTGCTTAGCATAGCAGCACTGCAGAAGTATTTGCTATTCTTATCATTATTTCTTTGTTCCAAGGTACTCAGCCACAACTCACCTCTGGTATACCAGAGCCACAGGCGTAGGGCGCAAATACTCGCACCAGAGAGACAGCCAGAAAAGCAAACAGTAGCGCCCACAGGATGTACATCAGGTAATTCAGAATGTAGGCACTGACGCCCTAAAGAGCAGACACAAAACAAGGAAGAAAACATGAAGCATAGCAGACCTGAACGACATACCCAACCACCCCTCCTCCCTGTCGGGAAAGCAAAGCTTCCATGGGATCGGGCAGGTTCATCCCTGTCCTGCACAAACAAAAGGGCCAGTGAGGGCTTTGTGGGCTGTTGCTATTGCTACAGTCGCTACCCATAAACAGCTTCGGGTGTTCCTCCAGGAGCTGTTTACATGAACCTTCCGTGGGGTGAGATCTCAGCAGTAATGGAAACCAGGACAGATGTTGGGTTGTAATCACCACTTGCACTAGAGAAAATAAAAGGTGTGACGCAGAAAACTCTGCCTCCGAGTCTGGAAGATTTGTTTTGTCTTGTCTGCGGTGGGCGGGCCTCTTAGCATTCATCAGGGCTGCGCCTGGACCACGGCAAGCACCACACTGCCAGGGAGTGAGGGGCAGACCTGTGTTTGAAACGCTGCTCCTCCAAGTGTGGTCTGTGGACCAGCAGCATCAGCGTCGCCTGGGAGTTTGTTAGAAACAGAGATGACTGGTCCCACTTCAGAGCTGCCAAGGCACACACTTGGGGTAAGGGCATGCCCCATGAGTTTAACAAGCCCTCCAGGAGATTCCAGGGCACTAACATTTGAGAAGCACCATTAGAGGGACAGCTTGATTGTCTCCTTCAGAAGAATTCACTGCACCATGTACTCCAAAGTGTCTGATGTGTGGAGAACATTTTCTGAAACAAACACATAGTCTGGGGTCTTTTGGGTCAAGCACCTATCTACTGGGTGGCGACTTCCTTTCTCTAGTCCTCAACTTCTTCTCACCATCTGGATTACTCAAGTGAGGAGGAAATGAAAGAGAGAGTACCTTCAGGCCAGGCCATGGTCATTGCCACGACCACAAGTGTGCCTATTAAATGTAAAGACATGTTCCTGGAGGCTGCACTGTAAACACATATATTCACACCCTATATGGGAAGCAATCGGATGGGGGAATACTTTCACCCCCTTCAATATGTACTTTTTTCAAGGCTAAAAATAACTTCTCACTCTTTCAAACAGTAATTCTTTAAATCAAAGTAGAAAGCTTAAAACCAGTTGAAAAGATGGATGGCCATGTTTCTCCTGAAACACATATTGCAAATAGGAGAGAAGAAAGAAAAGATGGCACCCAGCCAATCCTGCTGGCCCATTCCCCTCAACCCACAGAGAGACTTTCTTTTTGGAAGTAATGGAAAGCACTGCAAATGTGTGAGATTTCAAGATCCCTGTCTACTTCTGAGATGTGAAGGAATAAATGTTCAATTCCACTGAGAGAGAGGTTTAGCAAAATGGTGAAGTGCGTTCCAAATATCTTCAGCTGAAGTAAGTGAGTGAGAAAAAACAAAAAAGTGGGGAGAGAAGGAGAAATAAACTATGGGTATCCTCTGAGTACAGCTCTGGAGGAACAGTTCTCCCACTTCTCCTAAGGTGGAACTCAGGCTCCTAGCTACCCTCACCTAGGCTTCTGCTCTGTCAGTGACTCTCCCGGTCATTGTGGTAAGTACTGAACTTGGTTAAAAGTTAACCCTTTCCTCAGCTGAGGTTTTTATAAGGATCTGCAGCTCTGATTGCCATGAAGTCAAGCACTGGATCTGTGCCCGAGACATTCTCTTCACGGGTCTAGAAACACCCTCTAATGCAGCCATAAAATGCAATGGGAGACAATAACAGAAACCACAATGAGATGCTGTCTCATACTCTCTAGGATAGCTACAATCAAAAGCACATATTAACAAGTGTTGGCAAGAAGGTGGACAAATTGGAGCCCTTCCACACTGCTTGTGGGAATGTAAAATGGTGTGGCCATTTTGGAAAACGTTCTGGCAGTTCCTCAAAAGGTTAATCCTAGAGTTTCCATGTGACCAGACAGTTCCATGTATACCCAAGAGGAATGAAACTAATGTCCACAGAACGTTTGCACACTAATGTTCATAGTTACATCATTCAAAATAGCCAAAAAGTACAACCAACCCATGTTCACCGACTGATTAATGGATAAATAAAATACGACCTATTCATACAATGGATATTATCTAGCGGTGAAAAGGACGCATGGATTCATGAAGGATCTTGGAGAACACTGTGATAAGTGACCAAAGTCCATGCATTGCATCATTACATTTATGTGAAGTAAATGGGGCAAATCTCTAGAGACAGAAAGTAGACTTATGGTTGCCTGGGGATGCCAGTGAGGGAGTGATGGAAGTGTTCTAAAATAGTCGCAGAACTTCATGGAAGGATCACATGAACTGAAAAGTTATCTCACTGAAGCTGTTATTTGAAACAAAAAGACAGCATCGTTTCTCCTCTATTAGAAGGTGTAAAAATCAATGCCATTTCTTCAGCATGGTCAAGAAACTACCATCAGTAAGAAAAAGCCCAACACAAGGTGTCTTAAAATGTGTACATTGTGCCCATGCATGGTCCAACAGTAGGGAAGGAAGGCTTTTCCAAGTGAAGTTGATGGCAGCAGCAGAACTAAAAGGCAAGCAGCACTAGGATGAGGCCAGGGTCCTGAAGGTAAAAGCACAGAGGCCCAGGAATCGCCAGGTGGCAGGGGTTCCGAGCCAGGACCCTGCACACACACCCACCTCTGATTGATTCACCAGCAGTTCTGACCACTTCTGCCACAAGGGACACTTGTCCCTGTCCTCAAAAGTGGTCTCATTGGATGTCCAGCAGCACTGCTCATGGCTGTACCAGAACGCAGACAGGCAGACTCCCTCCTTCAGGTCCGTCATCCAGTCAACAGCAAGATCAATGACTCCAGCCAAGGTGCCTGGAAGAAGCAGCACAAGCCACTGAGAGGAGTCACCCTTCATCACAAGAACACGTGTAGTGGCCACGAAGGCCCAGGCACCAGAGCAGGGCACACACATGCCACAGGGCTGCCATTGAAATGGGAAGCTGCTTCTTTCCACCTGAAAGTCACTTGAGCTTTTATGGTGCAAGTAAGGCAGTGCCCAGCCTGATGGAAGATACAAAGGGCTGAGTGACTTAAATACGATAGGAAAGACATGGAGATGGTCTTTTCTGAAGCCCCTGCTGAGGGGCTTTTGAGATTCATTGCTTTCCAAATTTTTTACTTGGGAATACACACCACGAAAAGCATAACCCCCTCAGTGGTTGTGGGGGTGGGATACTGGGACACCCATAGTGACGTTTTTCACACACACACAAGGACTATGACAGCCTCACATCCTAAATGAGTAGCACTTTCCCAACAAATGGGTACCAACTTGGGAAAACCTCACTTGTCAGAAGTTTCTGGGTTTTAACAAATGTGGATGGGGACTTTGGGTCTTTATAAGTTAAAAAAAAAGTTCATTTTACATGCTGATAGAGGTTTGGAGGTGTGGCTCAAGGGGTAGAGCACCTGCCTAGCAATCGCAAGGCTCTGAGTTCAAACCCCAGTACCACCAATACGTAAAAATTTATAGACATAAGAAAAATTGAATGTGCAGTTGAGTGGGCTACAAAAGGCTGACTTGGGTCTCTTTCCAAAATCACCCATTCTAGTCTGTTATAAAGTCAGGGTGCGTTTTTCAGGCTTCTTAATTTTTCAAACTTTTCCTGGATCCTCCTTACAGTATCAGCTCTGCATCACCACCAAAAGCACCCACATTGGCTCCCTCTCTCTTCCGGCATTGAATGCTGAAGACAAGGATCTCACTCCCAGCCTCAGCTCTGTTCTCAGCTGGGAGAAGAGCCCTCCATCCAAGGAGTCGTGCCATTTAGAAACCTGGGTAAGCAGCCCCTTTCCGGGCAATCCCCACATCAGGGCAACTCTGTCTCTGAAATGCCTCTTGAATTGTGCCACTTCCCAGGCTTCTGCTGCCATTCAGGCTACCCTCTGAAATGATTTCTGACTGGGCTGCTGCCAGGGCCTCCTCTTGGGTCTCCCTGCCCCAGTCTTGCCCTATCCAATGGTTCTCCACACTGTGGTCAGACAGGCTTTCAAAAATGCAATCCGATCCCTGCCGCCCCCTTCACAATACCCTGCCATGGCTTCCCATTGTTCTTGGGAGGATGCCTAAATCCCCCTCGGGTCCCTGACAGCTGCCCCCAGACCCGCCTCTCCAGCGTCATCCTTTTCTAGCGCCCACGCCACGCTCCTGGAACGCGGCAGCCTCACCTCTCCTAAGCCTGGGCTACGTACACTTCCCAGGTACTGCGAGGCTGCCCGTCCTTCCCTCACCTCCATACCTCTGACATTCTTCTCTGAGTGCCTAGACAGATGTCTTTCTCTGTGTCCGTGCATCACGGGTGATTGTATTTCCACTAGCTTATAAGTGGTGGAGGGAAGGTTTTGTTGTCTAGTTTTTGTACCACAGTGGGAGTCAGGCCAGGCATCTAGACCTTGCATCTACTCTAAAGTGGATCTGAACCCTATCTACCCTGCTGTATCCATGTCAGGTACACAGTTGGAACTATAGCTCCATGTTGAATGAATGAGCGCAATATATAAGTGAAGGCCAAATCAGAAACTATGATGCATTTGTTCACTTGAGAGTTATTTAGCAGGGACCTGCTTACTATATGTCAGTCACTATTCCACCACACTGGCAACACAGCAGTGAACTAGCAAACCCATTGCACCTCATAAAGGGAGGAAGACAACAGACAAAGTAAGTAAATTAGGGGCTCCATTAAAAGGTGATAAGTGCTAGAGAGAAAATAGAGCACCCGACAATGGTGTAGCTGTCCAGGAAAACAGCCTGGCAGGTCCTCCAAAAGTTAAGCACAGAGTTTACCATGTGACCAAACAATTCCACTCTTAGGCAGACAACCAAGAGAAATGAAAACATACATCCATATAAAGACTTGTACACAAATGGTCACAGCAATGCTGTTCAAAATAGCCCCAAAGTAGAAACAATTCAGTTACCCACCAGTGGATGGATGAATGAACAAGTAAAATGTGGTCTAGCTTTACAAAGAGATAAATAATATTTGGCAATAAAAATGAAGTGTTGACATGTGCTACAACGTGAATGAATCTCGAAAAAATATTCTGAGTAAAGGAAGTTAATCGCAAAGGACCACACAGTGTAGGATTCCGTTTATATGGAATGTCCAAAGGGCTGGGTGTGTGGCTCAAGTGGTAGAGCTTCTGCCTTGCAAGCACCAAGCCCTGAGTTCAAGCCCCAGTACCACCAAAAACAAACAAAAATATCAGCTTTATATGAAATGTCCAGGATGAGCAAATACCCACAGACAGAAAGTGAACTAGCAATGGCTCAGGACTGGGAGAGGAGGCTGGCACCTGATAGTTAAAGGGGGCAAAAGGGTCTTTTGTTTTAAAATTGATTGAGATGATGGATACCCTAAAAACCATTAAACTACACACTGAGTAGGTTCATTGTATGGTACGGGAATTGTATGTCAATAAATCCATTACATACATACATATACACACTAACTGAGGGAGGTAGGCTCAGACAGGGAAGGATATGATTTTGAAGAAGTGACATTTGAACAAAGACCTAAAGGTGAAGGAGGAGTCCTGCGAACATACAGGGGCAAGACCCAATGATCGCCCCCAAATTCCATCATTTTTTCATTCATTTAGAGTCACATTATTCTGCAATCCAAATCTTGCAGATATGGGCTCCATTTTTTTGTGATGGGCCTCAGCTTTGTTCTGTGATACAACAGCGACACCAAGTGGTAGCTCCTGATAAGTGCCCTGCAGAAGAGATCCAAAACTTCTTTCACCAGTGGCCTCCTAAACAAAATGGTTAGGTGGCCACCGAGGGGAAGGCATGCCAAGCAGTGAGATGCCTGAGTCCTCTCCGCCTCTAGAGCAGTGGGAAAGGGCACAACTCACTACGTTTCCCTCTGAGAGGCAGTCAGATCCAAAGAACACTTAAGCTACCTCTGTTTGCAATATCCCCACTCTTGCCCCTCCTGAATTGGTCTGCTGGTGTATCCCTGGGATCTACTTCATCAGTACTTCTTCCCCCTGACTGCACGTGAGGGTCATGGGGGGAAAAGAAGGGGTCTTTACTCAATGTCAGGGGGCCCTCTCCAGAGAGCCTGCTTAGTTGAAGCTGGGCAGCAGTATATTTTTAATTCTCCTGATAAGTCCACCTGAAAGAACGGATGGACATTGGGCTGCAAATGAAGCCAGCTGGTCAAAGTCAGATGCACTAAAGGAAGCTCAACAGGCCCCCCAGATTAGTCAATAAATCTAAGCTGTGCCATTTACTCTGCAAGACACCAGAACACCTATTTTGACTTTCTTCATTCCCCTATTTACTTCTCCTTCCTAAAAGCCAAGAGTAATGATATGCTGTAAAGTTTTAGGAATTTCTTCTACAGTTATCAAAACTCACAGCCAACTCCTACTCTGCCCACTGTGGAAAGACTTCACAGAAGAAGTCAAGCACAATTGGTGACAGAACACTGCACCAATTCCAAATCCTTTCTCTGGTGGCTGCCATCATATACTGGGAAACACCACTGTGGGAGGGAAGACAGAACTGGAGAAGTGGACAGACAGCCACTGTGACTAGTAGGAAGGGAAGCCCATGCCCCAGGCATTCCTCTTGGCTCTTTGTGGAAAGACACAATCAAGGCCATCTTATAATTACTTTTGGAGTACATAAAAGACCACATAGAAACCAAAAGCCAGTATAATCCAAAATCATGTCTATTACTGTCAATGCTTTGATTTCTCTGATCAATTCTCTAAGCATAACTATTATTTTGTTATATGTAGGGGATTTTTTTAAAGAAAATTTGTTCAACATGCTCGACTTTTGGTTTGGGGGCTTTTTTTTTTTTTTGAGATGGGGTCTCACTATGTAGCCCAGCTGGCCTTGAATGTGATCCTCCTGCTTTCACTTCTTGAGTTCTGGAATTATAGGTGTGCTCTTCCACACTCAGCTCATTTTTTTTTATTCTTAGACATTAACCTTCACAGCCTCCTAAAAGAAAGTTTCAGGAAACAATTGCTATGAAGACCCAGTACATTGGGTTTTAAAAGGAAAGGGTTGCCTTCCAAATAGTCGTTCATTTACTCTGAAACCATTTACTGTTCACAAACATGGCTGAGATTATAAAAAACAAAGGATGCAAGTCTCTGAGGGTCAGAACAACATAGAGGCTGGAGGTATCTTTTCTAGGTGTCTGACATTATTCTGAGTGTTGTAGGATGGTCACAATTCATTTCAGGGCTTTCCAGTAATAGCAAAAGTCAATCTTGTATGGTATTTGGTGATTAGACATCAAAACATTTCCGTATTTGATGCTCCCTACATAGCCAAGTACAATAAAATGTAAAGTGTGGACTCTCAATAAATCCAGCAAAGTACTGGACCTTTGCAGAGTGTGGGAAGGCCACAGTGCTGTAATTACACTAGCTTGGGCTCCTGCCTTGGCCTTGAGGAAAGGATGCAGCTAAGTATATGGTCATGTATTTTGCTCTTAGATACTTCGGTAGTAAATGCCTTGCATGAGGGTAAAAGAGAAACACTACATATTCCCAACATCCTCCCAAACAGCTGGCATTTGGGGGGTCACGGCCCCCTGGCATGCCCTTCCACATACCCGCCAGCAGTCCGATGAGAAGCATCACCACCCATCCTGACCAGGCATCCAGCAAACTCTTGATGAACTCCCAGATGGACTCCTTGCTTTTGCTGGTTATCTAGAAACAAAGCAGACACAGCAGTTGATATGGACACGTTTTCCAATTCAGGTTTCTTTCCCTGAAATGGATTCCTCAGGAACCAGAGTGATTGAGAAAAGGGATGTAATTAAGAAGCTAAATTCCCAGTTACATTATTTTTTCCATAATGCACTATAATGATAAAATGGGCTTTCTAGTTCACAGAGCTATAAAATGCTGGAGTTGTCTCCCAAGAATTAGTGCACCAAAAAATTCACTTAATTAAAAACACATACTAAGTATGATTTGCTCTTTGGTTATTTAAAACGCATTCCGAAGGGAGACAATAGTCCAGTGTCACCATTTTGAATATGGGTCACTATTTTAACTTACACTTTTCATGGAAAAGCCAATTGGATAGACCACATTTCTTACTTTGCTTTCAAGGTTACATTTTCACAGCAAGAACTTTTACTCTGCTCAAAAGCAGGCGGATACGTTTCTGCACGCGGTAAGGACAGGATTTCTCTTTCCTGTGTTAGCAGAGCCCTGATCATCACTCCCCTTGAGGTCCTGTAGAATATATCCCTAAAGGACCAGAGAATAAATATTTGGGCTTTGCCAGTCAAATGGTTTCTGTTGCATCTACCCAACTTTGCCACTGTAGCACAAAAGGAGCCATAAGGAATATGCAAATGGTGCCGGGCAAGGTGGCACACACCTGTAATTCGAGCTACCTCAGAAGGTGGAGATAGGAGGCAAAGTTAGCATGAGACTCTATCTGAAAAAATAAACTAAAACCAAAAAGAGCTGGGGGCGTGGCTCAAGTGGCAGTGCACTTGTCTAGCAAGCAAAAGGCTCTGAGTTCAAACCCTAGTACTGCCAAAAAAATAAATAAATTATTGGAACTTCTCAGCTTCCTGTCCTCCTTCCCAAAGCATCCTTACTGTATTCTGTGGCCTGTGGGACAAAACACAAACTCCTTCTCAACACGGGCCTGCTGCTTACATTTCCAGACGCGTCTCTAATTCTCCCCTTCCACCAGACCCTACGAGTTCCCTGAATTGCCCAAATGTGCCATGCTCTTCCATGTTACTGTGACTTTTCAAAAGTCCGCTCCTGATATGTGGACTCCTTTCCCCTTTCTCTGACTAGCAAACTCTTAGTCATCCTTCAGGATCCAATGGAATGTCACCCTCTCTGAAAAACTCCCCTAGCCATCCATCCTAAACAACTGCATGGCATTTGACACGTACCTTCGTTGTGAGCCATTCCACTACACACCACTGCCAGCTACACGCCTGGCACCATACACAGTACTGCTTTCATACACATGGTCTCATTTGCTCCTCAGGCAAAATGCTTCCATCCTCACAGACAAGGACACTGGGCCCAGTCTGAAAGTGTCAAGGGCAGGATGTGTCCTGGATTTGTGTGACTCCAGGGTGCCCTCCTTACCACAACACCACATTCCCTCAGCATGACCCAGCTCCACCCAAGACACCCGCTATTGTAATTCTCTGTCCTTGTGTCTGCCTCTCCCACCAGCCCTTCTCTTCCCAACCTAACCTACAGTGTGACACGTGAGCCTCAGCCCCACCTCCATAAGGCATGGGTGAAACATGGGGTGGCCACTGCAGGGATCTCCTTTACCATGGCTTTGCGGGGCACCACTCACCTTTCCTTTGTGTGTGTGTGTGTGTGTGTGTTGGTTATTTTCGGGCATATCACTCTATGCCCAGGTTGGCCTAGACTGATCTTTGTGTAGCTGGGGATGACAGGTACATACCACTGTGCTCAGCTATTTGTTGAGATGGGGTCTCTTGAATTATTTACTTGGGCTGGCCTTGGACCACAATCCTCCCTACATCTGCCCCCCAAGCAGCTAGGACTATAGAAATGAATTCCATGCCTAGCCGACTAGGTTATAGTTCTTTCCTCATGGTCCTTTAAGAATAATCTTTTAGAATCATCTTAATAATAGCAATTTTATAAAAGCGATACTATTATTTGGATTTTGTGTTTTTTCCTTCTCTGAGTCACACATTGCTACAAGGTTGACTTAGATTGTATTAGCAAAACTTTTTCCTTCATGGCAGCTGCAAATTAGAGGAATATAGTACATAAGAAGCAGCACAACACATATTTAGATTTGTTTTGCAGATCTAAATAATAAATGATAATAAGATCCAATCCCTTGGGCATCACTTAAGACAGTATTGCTGGTGGGTACATTTTAGATACAAATTTGAAAAATGTAGAGTGTCCTAGTTAGCCAGAAAAACATCCTGAAATCCTAGTGTTTATGGGGTTGTAGATGCTTAGCACTGACAGTATGTGTCCCCTTGCAGGGTGGTCAAGATTAATGTCATGTGTATTATTAATAAATGTGGTTTTTATTTGCTTCTAACACCCATCTTGAGATCACAGGTTCAGAAATCAAGACGGGACTCAGAAGGTGTGTGCTACTGGCTTAGACGCATACTGCCTTTTTTTTTCTTTTATTCATATGTGCATACAATGTTTGGGTCATTTCTCCCCTCTTTCCCCCACCCCTTCCCCTCCCCTCTGCCCCCTCCCTCTCCCCCCTCACCAACCCACCTTTCTGTGTCTGTCAGTATCCCGTGACTTTTCCCTCAGCCAGTCAATGGTGTGGAAGTCCTCGTACGTCCCCACATCAGGGAATGGCTCATCAAGGAAATCCATCAGGTTTCCAGAGCCACTCATGGCTCCTGCATTGACCATGCTAGTCACTCCTGGAAGAGATGAGAGTTGTTAAGAACGTCACAGGGGCCAGGGGCAAGGCACGGTGGCAGAGAGCTGGCCTAGCATGCATGAGGCCCTGGGTTCCAGTCCTAGCACTGCAAGAAGAAAACAGAAGCAGAAGTTCTACACAGACATGGCAGAAGAGTAGGGCACAGGTTGCTTTGGCTCATATAGGAAAAAGTCATTTCTACACAGGCATCTCTGCTGTCATGTAGTACCTACATAGCCAATGCTCACTATTCATCCCTGAAGGCTGAATTAGAAAAACACTGACCAACTGTTCCTAAGAGAATCAAGAGTTAGGTTCCTGGGAGCCTCTGGTCACACATTTTTGTCAACCTATCAGTAGGCAGATAGCCTTGTTTTATGTGTGTTTCTGTTTGAAGGCACCCTGTTTTATATATATTGTTCACTGAACTATTCTATCTATCTATCTATCTATCTATCTATCTATCTATCTATCTATATCATATCATATCATATCACTGAACTCAGCCAACTGCACAACCACTCGTGTTGGAATGAAGTTTCTCTAACACAGGTATTTTCTCCACAATCTTTCCACCCACAGCACTTCAGTACCACATTTCAGGGCCACTTTAAACAGTAAAGCTACCAACAAAAGAAGCACAAAAATGCAAAAGATGTGGCACTAGAGACAACATAGAAAGAACACTGATTCATGCCATGAGAGTGGAAACACAAAGGCAGAGGGCTGCCTTCTCCAACCTCAGCTGGGAGCATGGGCTTCTGGCAACTCAAACTTTTGCCACCCTCCATGGGCACATGTCTGTGAAGACTCTTGAAATCACCACAGGATTGACTGGGGGTGCTATAGTGTGGATCCTGAATGTCACCGAAAAGCCCAAGTGCTACAAACTTGAACCTCTGGGAGGTGCTTTGGGGAGATTGGGGAAACCTTTAAGAGATGCAGTCTAATGGGAGACCCTTTGGTGATTAGAGCTGTGTTCCCAACGGGGATTGTGGCGTCCATCTCCTTCCCCTCTCTCTTATGGCCCAGCCATGAGGTGAGTGGCTTTGTTCCACCACATGTCCCTGTCATGAAGTGCTATCTTGCCACAGGCCCAAAGCAAAGGAGTCAATTGCTCATGGACTCCAATTGATCATGGAACCCTCAAAACGGAGCCCAAATAAAGTTTTTCTCTTTAAAAATTGACTATCTCTAGCATTTTGTTAAAGTGACACAAAGCTGACTAACACAGGAGTTTACAAATACATTTTAGTGAACAGGCAAATTTGCAAATACAAAACACCTCATGTTCTGCAAAAGAAAGGCATCATAAGGAGAGGCTGCAGGAGCGAATAATTGTAACCAAACTGATAATTGCTTCCCCTGGGAGATAAAGTGGTTCACTGAGGCAGCAGCCTATGCAGTTGCATCATGAACATTGCAAATGTACAGGAACCACAGAGTGGAAATGCAAGCAAGACTTTCAATTCACCAGTGGGAGTAGCCTGCTGCCCCCAGGGAGACACCATAGAGACAGACAAGGGAGCCAAGAGCCACACAGGGCTGGCAGCATAGCACCCTGGGTGAGGAGCTCCAGTTACAGCTATTCATTTTTAACCTTTCTTAAACACAGTCGAAAGGGATCCTGCCAGGCAGTAGCAGTGCTGAGGGTGTCATCCTCTGCAGTCTAAGATAGTAATTCCATCCCCACCATTCGGGCTTCCCTTGCCTGGAAAACAGTCACTAACGAACCAACCCACCTTCATGCTCTCCCACCACCAGCGCCTATTTTCCAGATCATGTAGGAGCTAATCTGAGATGGAGAAAATGCTTCGCAGCAGGATCTGTGCTCTCCCCAGTCAACAGAAAAAATACAACACTCAGAGACAAGAGGTTGGAAGACGCACTGAATAAAAAGTACTTTGGCAGGGAGCATGGAAATTTGAATTATAGGATGAGGACCACGAAAGTGCTGGAATGGATGGTTGAAAAGTTGAAGGTGGTTATGAAATATTTGAGTGCAGATTTCTCCCATAACTTTATATATTTGCAGGATTCAACCACAACCCGATGAAACTGAATTTTAATCAAATTGAAGAGTCACTATGGGCAAAGTAGGGTAATCACCTTACAAGCCATAAAATGGCCACAGTGATTGACTTATCTGTGCAACTCGGCTGCTTTCAAACTTTCAAAGATTGAGGTTTGAGCCATGCCAAGTTGAGAACCATATCCACTGATGAGCACCCAGGGAAGAATCACATTGCATAAGGCAGTAGCGACCAATAACAATGATAATATAAGGGAAGGAATAAAATCAAAAGGCAGAGATTTCATTTTCATTTTTATAAAAACAAGATGGTCATAGACTTCTATGATATGTGGCAAAGAAAATCTGATGGGAAAAATAAGATGACAGGTTGTTGACCCCCAATGCAGAGCCCTTGTCAGAAAAGCCCAGAAGCCTGGGCTTCCTATTAAAGGGGAGTTGATACTACCTGAAACTTAACCAAATCTCTACTAGAGCAATTACTCCAGGCAATAGTGCCCGAGACAATTCCATCTGGGTCTTTGAGGGAGCATGACATGGGCACACCCATTACACATGTAATTTGTAGAGGAAAAATGAACGTGACTTGACCATCTGCAGAGCTTTGGATGATTCCCAGAGGCCCCAAAGGAGGTGAAGACATCACCCTTGAGGTTGGAGTTAAGAGATGAGGAGAGGAGGCAAAGGGAGGGCCAGGTAAAGTACGGGAAGAGGGAATGTGGGTGAGGAAAATGGAAGGCACACTGACTGGGACCCAGAGGGGAGATGTAGATGGAGAAGGAATAGAATCCAGCTAGACATGGGGGCAACAGAGAGTGAGTGCCAAGGACTTGCTATCTGAGAAATAAACTTGACCTCTGTCAGGTCAGTATGGTACAGGAGCTCCAAATGCATACACAAAGTCAATTGCCCCTGAGAAGGGGGCCCTTGCTCTTCTCACCTGGTTTTATTTCTTCTCTCCAACAGGTGCCTTTCTGCTGGCAGCTAACACCTCTGTTTATGGCCTTAAGGCCATAGTTTCAAAGAAAGACAGCATTCTAGAGCCTGGGTCTGAAATTCCTACTGGGCTTGGATGACCGAGATCAAGGCTCAGCAAACTGCAGCCCATGGGGCTGCCTAGTTTTGTAAATAAAGTTTTATTGGGACACGGTCATGCTCACTTGTTTACATTATGTTTGTGGCTGCTTTCACTTTACTACAGCAGAACTGAGTAGTTAAGACAAAGATCACATACCCATAAAACCTAAAATGCTTACTATCTGGCTCATGAAAGAAAAAGCTTGCTGACCCCTGATCTATGAGGCAGACTAATAGAAGAACAGCCCATATCCCCACCTCTGCCTGTGTCTACTGTCTTTTCAATGTGAATGTGCAGTCTGTCTTCATTAAAACGCAGCCTGTGTTTCTCTACTCCTTGAGTCTGGGCTGGCCTTGACACGTGGAAGAGGCAACATGTGTGCACTGAACCTAGACACCAAAGAGGCAATGCAGGCTCTGCAGGGTTTTTTCAGACCTCTTCCTTTACCTTGAGAAGCAGCTGCAGCTAGAATGCTGGAAGATGATTCACTCCTTGGCCTTCCATTGGGTCAGTTCAGTGAGCCCATTCCAGACCATCTAGGTCCAGCAGACCATAGATGCATGAGTGAGCCCAGCTAAGACTAGCCAGCATTGGCCGGATCAAGCCACCAGCCAACCTGGAGATTTGTGGGAACAGTATACAGTTACTGTGGGGCTGGGGCGTAGCTCAGGGGTATAGCATTCGCTTAGCATATGCAAGGCCCTGGGTTCAATCCCCAGCAACAAGAAAATAATGGTAATTGTTTTAACAAGGCATTGAATTCTTTGAAGGAGTTGTTAGTAGCAGCACTGTAACAATGGCTAGCAAGAGAATTTACTTGGGCTCTGAGGAAAAGGAAAATGAAGACAAGTAAAGTCAGCTCTGTGGCGGTGCAGAGCAGCCTCAGAGAAGGCCTGGAGCAGCAATACATGACAAAGCCACCTGCAGAGATAGCATGGAACAGAATTTGCCCGAGTTCATGCTGATGGTATCCTGCCTGGAGATAGCATCGCTCCTCCACAACCAGTATTTACCTACAAAGGGACTCTGGAAGACGTGCAGGACACCCAGGTCTTTTATGCAATCCCTTAAGGCAAGAAAGTATCTGAAGCCCCCAAGAGGCCAGGATCAAAGTGTTCAACAGCAGGTGATAACAGACCCTGGGCAGTAAAACTCACTTTGCCAGGGCACAACAAAGACGAGCATGCCCTAAGTGTGATAGCATCGGTGATGTTATTTCGGACTTTGATGTTCGAAGCCACTGAACGGGCCAGCTTACCCTCAGAATGGGGATCTGTATCATTTAAAGGAAACCTAGACTTTGCAGAGTTGGGTATTTGCACAAAATGTAATGGGTTCTAAAAGATGAAAGAAAGCAGGAAATCGCTTGGATAAAGATCAAGAAGGCCGGGGTCAAAGGATAATGAAGGCTTGAGTAAATATAGACCACGGCACCCTGGGCTAAACATGGTTCCCAGCACGTCTGACCAAAAAGGTCAGGTGGAAAGCCATACCCATGGCTTGTTTCCCTCCACCTTAAACAGCTTTCCTCTCCTCTCCACTTCACCTGCTAGAACCCTGCCCTGTTTCTCCCCATCTGGGAAACTTGCATTCCTTTCCCCAGAAAGTTGAGGGGATCCTGTTTGGCCACCTCAAAGAATTCTTTATCAGAACTCTTAATTATTTGATGGCAACAAATACCCTTCCACTCTCCCATGATAGTCGGCGGTCAAGAACCACTTCCTTATTTTTGCACCTCCACTGCCGGGCCTGGCATGCAGTCACTGTTCAAAAACACATCTTGGTGGCAGGTGGGGAGGAGGTGGCCCAAACAATGTATACATGTGAGTAAATATAAAAATGATAAAAGAAAAAAAAGAATGAGTCTTGAGTTCATTTAAGTGTGTGCACATCTCTGGACCACTGGGGCACAAAAGCAAAGCCCCCATGACAGAATTTCTATAGGTTCTATGTATGCACCCACCAAAAATATCTACATT